TCTGGCGGGTAACCTTGCCTAGAGCTTCCTGATAGGGGTGCTAGTTGGTTGTCACCTTGTTCACACGTCTCATTCACACTTCATACATTACCTGCAGTCACTCATTACCCTCCTTATGTATGTAATAAATGTGTAAAAAAATTCTATGTGTGGTGTATTATTTTAACCAAAAGAGGAACCTAGTTCCTTTAATTGTGTAATCTGTGAACAACGGAGAACAAACTGTCCTGCCCAGTGTTCCACAGCAAGCATTCAGCGTGTATTTATGTGTGTCCAATATCAAACAGAACATCAAAACATTTAAAACACTAAAATCATCGGGGTTTTAAGAAGAGATCCGTTTTCTCCTATTGATCAAAGGGACCCCTCCTTTGGACTCCAACCAGTACTTCTCCTTTTTAAGTTTTAGAGGATCTTTTCTAATAAAGTCCTCTGGGCCTTCCTAACCCTTCTGTAGTTTAGAGAATATTACTAAAAAATATTCTCAAGGCCTTTAACCTTTTAATTTGTTTAGAAAGGCGTTACTAATAAACCCTTTCAAGGTCCCAGACCTGCACTGAGGTATTTATCCGACACCGGAGAGCAACCCGTCGGCTGCAACCGTGGTCAGACCTCAGTTCACTCTTATCTTTATTCACTTATTCACTTATTTCTTATTCACTTATCTCTTATTCACTTGTCTGATTCTCAACAAGCCTTAAGTAAGCCAGACAATTTTGGTTATGAATTACTAGGAGTTTGGACACTAAGTATTTTTATAATGTTCAATATAGCAGAAATAAAAGGTCTGCTTACCTTGTTTTTGTGTGCACACAGCTTTTTGTCCAAACTCCGTTCACTCAGACCACGGCTGATGTCCTCCCCCCCGTTCCAGTTTGGCCTGGAGCGGATCCTGTTCCGTGACGCCAATTGAAGGATATAAAAAAACAACAGCAATAGAATAATATTAAACACAAAGTGAACCGTCTTCCTTCATTAAATAGGTTCTTTTAGATGTTAAGGAGGAATTGACTTAACCAGGCTGGCGGAGAATGAAGACAACCGGACACCTGCAGCAGGTGGGGAATCAGTGAACTTTTATTGAGACAGAGACAACCTCTCAACACAGCTCACATCAGGAGATTCCTAATATTTGCTGTGAGGATGGGTATATATTCTCTAAAACTTACAGGAGGGGGTTGTGAGGAAAGTGCTGCATTAGCAGAAAAACAACTCCATAAAAGGAAAGCGGCCTTGAGTGTTCTAGTCTCTTCGCTTGCAGATATCTTTCGCCTGCAGGATGAGGCGATCGCTTCTTATCGCTCTCAAGGCCAAAGTCGTGAGCACATTTTTATTACACAGTTGCACAGTAACTTTAAAGCTGAACAATATTTAAAGCTGAATAATGTTTGATCAGATTATATTTTCTTCAGTTTTCATGGATGCCTGGAAGTTAAACTTTATAGTTACACCTGGTAAAGCAGCAATGCTGATCGTTTTATTAAAGATGAAAGAATTTAGACAGTTTTTAACTCTTAGTGATGCTGCAGTGTTGTTTGACTTGAAGAATACGGAGTTTAGGACCCAGATTACTCCCAGATTTAAGAGCATCTTAGTCCGACAAATATGACAATAACAACGGCCGCTTGCATGTTCTGCAAAAAAATGTGCTTTGTTGTGTATCTGACGGACAAACACCAAACCAGTTCCACATCACTGAAGTTGCACCATTTTTACAAACCAATTCTGGTTCATCTGTTTCACTCAACAATCGGCCATGTGCGTATGAAAACAAAGGCACTGCGCATGCGCGTTTTACTCCCATTCTATCGCGATATTTCATTTTCCTATCGTTGCCTAACATTATACCGGTATTACCGTGAACGGTATAATATGGCCCAGCCCTACTATATACATAAAATTGATTGAATTTGACTCAGCCTTTAGTGTAAATGGTTATAATCCCTGTTTTGTTTTTTCATTTGTTTGTTTTTTTAATCCATTGATTTTACTTATCCAGAACTGTTTTATAGCTTTCCTTTTTTGGATTTTCAAGTGAAGTTGTGTGAGTTTAAAACAGAAGTGTTTAAAAAGTAACCTATCATCCTACTTGGAAGAAAGCACTTGTAGTTTTCAGTACCCCACATTGCTCACCACTGCCCTAATGTAAGCCTCATCATCCCCGGCACTGCTGAACTCATCAAATTGTATTTTAAGAACAGACCTACTTGGTGTCATGTTTTTGCAATAAAACACGATAAACAAACACTGATTAATGGTTGGAAATACCCCTACACTCTTGAGGCTGCTAATGTTTACACTGACCAGGCAGGGCTTTGAGATAATCTGGCATGATGTCATCTCAGACGGTACATTTTCCCACATTCACACTGAGTTAGATTGATGCCGCACATGTGCTCAACTCGCACGGCTGTGTTGTTCTACAGTAAGTTATATCAGCATATTAAAGGATGGCGAGCACAGTGGGGAGTAAGCTGACACCCACGAGCAGAGGTCCGGCAGTGAGGGAAGTCCCAGATAGCTGAAGCTCCGCACATGTGCTGTGATGAGAAACTCAGATGTAAAACTATTCCGCTCACTCATTTAAGAAAAAATAAAAATCAGATTTTATTGGTTGCTGTTTTGGACAAAAGTGCTTCCTCCTGTTTTTAAAATTCATGGTCATCTGTAGTAGTTTTTTTGTGTGGTGTTGTGTTGACAAGTTTCCCCCCGTCACCCCCCTCCCTTGTGAGGTTTTATAGCGACATTGTACTCAAGGAAAGCCTGTGCTTTTGACCTGAGACAGTCCATTTTAGACCATATGGTAATAAAATGGTAGCACTGAAGGTCCCCGCGGTCCAGTCTGCAAACTGCAGCCAAGTCAAAGGAAATCGCTGCTGTAAACAAAGAACAAGTTCTTGTTTTGTCTCCTGGTGATGTAGAATCTCTGGCCTTGCAAAGTTCACAGACGAGCCTTTGTTTCCAGGAGCAAAAAAAAAAAAATGTATTGGCCTTTGGTCACAGCAGTTGTTTTTGCAATATATGTGCTATTATGTGAACTGAGAAATGCATGGGCGGATAACATGTTCACATGAGTTTAAGATCCCTTGTGTCTTGGCCACACAGGGAAGGAATTTATTTTTTTCTTTTACATTTTAGCAACACAAGATTATTATCCCACACTATGCATTGTTGTTCAAGATTAATTGAATTCTAATTTTAGCACTTATCATAGTTTGGTCCTAAAAATATTGTAGCTATTGTGAATCTAAGTGTGCAGTGTTTTCTTTAACTGTAGACCAATAGACAAATGTTATTGCATGTGGGAGGAATTTCCAAGAGCTTTTTTGTCATTAAGACCTCCAGGGATCCCATTTCTTTAGCTGTACGCGTATCTCTTTCTCTTTTTTCCCCTTTTATATTTTTCCTCGCAGCTCCCAATAGTGCTCTTTTATGGCATTATTTTTGGCTGAGGTGGTGTATATATACAACAGCACACCAGACTCCACAGACTCGATTTAAGCATGTCTGAAGGCTGAGGCTGGTCACTTCATTGCTTTAACAGTGGTCAAAAATGGTTGAAAAAAAAAAAAACTGAAACAGGCTTAGGCCTAATGACAGATAATCCAGTTACAAACTTGTGGAGCTCGTCAAAAGGTTTGCTTTCCAGGTTGTGGTTTTGTGATGTGGATGGAACGTGAAGCGAGGAGGAAAAGTTTTTAGTTCAGCCTGTGTTTGCCACAGGCTTGCCCTCTGCTTTCACTCTGATTTGCACACTTTGATTTGAGGCTCTGTGGGCACAGCGGCCACTGGTTAGGATGTTGTGAGATGTCTTGTTGTTTCACTTTTTACTGGTGGTCTTGCATCTCAACATGGAGTTTATAGCTATTGTCACATCTGCCTGGAATGCATGGTAAAATAACTGACGAGGTAGCAGTGAGTAAATATATTAAGCTATTTGTGGACTCATCCTTTGTTGTTGTGTAACAAAGCATGAGTTATAGTAGAGTAGTAACATCTGTGTTTCAAGCAAGCATTTCCTTATTTTCTGTCATATATATTAAACAACAGTGGATGGCTTGAATCACACCAAGGCTTGAATGTGTGTTCTTCAAATGGCATGCAATTGCTAGGGTGAAATTGGTTGCAAAGTTATATACAGTGCTGCACTAATAAAATACCTTGTAATTGGTTTGGTTGCTAGCTGGTAGCCATGGTGGCCCCTCAAACTGCTTGCCAAGCAGCTGTAAAAATGTAAACATTGTGACATAAAACAGAAACACCGATCGACTGCCTTCAAATGAATAATTGGTTGGGAAGGCATTACTTTTATTTTGAAGGTGAGTGTTCTCTGTTTGTTGTTGGCATTGCACCTTTTCACATTTCAGTTTTGACGGTTAATGGTTAGTAAAGAGAGTAAATGGTGAGTGTTTGCAGACAAGTTGTCATCTTCCTTGCAAACTACAGGCAACCGTAGAAACCTTCTAGATCTTCTAGACTGCATCTGATCTCACCTGGTGACCAGTTAGGGAATAATATTTTACTCTAGCAATCAGCGGTTACTAGGGGGTCACCAACAGGTCTCTAGGCCTGTGAAACTGAGGCCTGGACATGGTCAAAGTTTCAAATAATGATGTCAGTGTATGCATAGGTAACCCCTGTGAGTCAAAATGTCAGGATTCAGGCTACTCTAAATCCTTGGTATCAAAGAGTGTTTCCTGTCTTGGATCTGCACGCTGTCAAAGAGACTGGATGTCATAGACAGAAAGCTCTAGCCGTGAGCACGACAGCCCCACCCATCTGCTGTTTACAAGGGGTAGCCAGCCAGTCGAAAGTTGATCTAAAGAGAGCGAAGCTAAAACTGATTGTTTGTATTCTTGCCAGAAAATGTCTTTAAAGAACACTTTTTGGGGTGCAAATGTCACTGATATGCAATTCAGAAGAAAGAGTGACTTTGTTTTTTTGTTGGTTTGAAGTATATTACTTTTTCACCCTGTGTATCTGTGTCACTTCTCTCTAAGCCACAGGCCGCTAAAGGAAGAGGACTGGCAGATGCACAATGACTACAGCCTGGTGAGAGGGGTGACACCCAAGCAGCACTACCAGCCCACCCAAGGGAGCTACCAGCTTCAGTTTGCTATTCAGCAGTTGCAGCAACAGAGACTTAAGGCTCATCATCAATTTCTGGACCAGACCCGCTGCGGACATCAGGTAAGATGTATCATTTTCTTAGTAAAGAATGTTTGTTTTCATTTAGCATCTTGGATGCTAAACAAGTGCACTGCTCATTTTTCCATTGGTAGTATTTGCATTTCTATTTTTTCTTCTTTCTTTTTTTTAAATAAAAATAGCACAGACACTTGTCTGTTAACACAATAAGATTATTTTTCAGATTCTTTTCTTTGTTGGTTTTCAGTAATGGCACCATGTAGAACTTAACCTTAAGAACTTTTAACCCATAAAAACCTCAATATTTGTGTCTGTATAATTTATGTCCTTACCTAAGCTCTGCACTTTGCAAAATAGTGCAAAATGCACCCACGTTAAGAGAAGAGATTCCATGTTAGCCTCTGGAGAGCTATTTAGAGGTTCGCCTTCCAAACTGTCTAATAAAACAGTGTTTGGTGGAGACAGTAGCTTAATTCTAAAGACCAAAATGGAACAACTCTCTCCAATATCACATCATTTGAGTGAATGACTCTACTAGGCATATGGGAAGGTGAGTAGACAAGAAATTCTACTCTTGAGGGTACCAGCAAATCTTGACTTTTCAAATAGCTCCATTAGTTTTCCTATTTTAAGACAAATAAATTCGGAATATGATTTTCTTAGCAGTAGAAATGTAGCGGCAAAAAACCTTTTAGTTATGGCTAACAAGCCGTGACAGATGTGATTTGGCTGTTTTTACAGGGAGATTAGAAAGTTAGAAAGGCCTTAGCGTAGGAGTTTTTTGTTTTTCTTTGTTTGTTTTTTTTTTAAGGTTTAGACTAAAAAAGAGTGGCTCTCGCTTTTAGCGCAGTGACTTTGAAAGGAGATCTCACCAAGAAGGAGGATGTATGTTTCCATTTTCCAGAGGATTTGGTGGACTGAATCTATGGATTGAGAGAAATGGAGACAGGACAGTGCCATGGGACAGCTTAAAGGCTGGAATGACTGGATGCGCCCAATTTTTTCCGAGTACTGGAGTTGGCCTCACGTCATTGTTTCTCATCTTGGTTGGAACTTAATTAATGCAATTGAGGTGATATTTCTTTTGGCTTGGTCGGCAGCCTTACGTAAGGCACTTTATGATTCCTTCTCTGTTCCGTTCATCTCTTCTCGTACTTTAAACACATTTAACCACGTTTGTCTTATCTGTGACATGCTCCACCATAATTCAGCCATATAGCGGCATGAATATGTCTTACAATTTCAAATCCCTTGTGCCTTTAAGGACTTTATGTGTACAGAGCAGTACAAAGAGTCAGAAGACAGAGCTTTTTTGTTGTTCACCCTCTTAAACTGAGGTAATAGGAGGGCTGACTCTAGATATGGTTGTCTCACCATCAAGTCAGGCAACCCTCCCTAAAATCTTGGCTATCCCACCCCATTCATTCCCTTCTCCCCAGCTGTCATGGCAATGTGTGCCACTGCTTAGCTCTTAGGCAAAATCGTTTTGCATGGTATAGACCTTAATCTGCCAAGGAATTTGTCAGTGACTTGATTTCATTCTTTAGTGCCATTAGATAGGGGTTTTGATCTTTTTGATACAAATGTATTTTATCTCAAATTCTTGGATTTCCTGGCCTTGGGAGAAAGTTACCAATACTTTTTGATAATATAAATACACAAAAGGATGTTCTTAGTCGAATGTGGGTGCTCGTGTGCATACACGTTCTTCAGTGTGAGAGAAAGAGACAGGGGTCTGTTCCGGCACTCCAGTCCACGTTCCAGTTACTGGGTGCAGACTGCACGGCTCCTCCACAGGATTGGCCCGGGGCCACCTGGCAGCCAAAGAAAGGTGCCCTTCCTGGCCCCGCTCAAGCTGAATTGTGGCCATAGGCCTTGCAACCAGGAAACTTAGCTTCTCATTTATCAACACAGAAATTACATCAGATATTCCCTGTCGGCCCTTTGAACGGCCACACTGTGAAACTGGAAAACCATTAGCTCGTTAGATAGCCGTATAAAGCTGCAGAGAAAATAGCGTGGACGTGAGATGTGGAAGGAATGTATGCGAGCATTCCCCGGCATTGCAAGGACAGAATGAAATGTGGCTCTAAAATATTATGTCAGAAAGACAACAGCATTTTCCCTCTTCACAAGCCTTTGAAGAGATCTTGTATAAACAAATGAATAATGTGAAGAATTTGCTTTTCACTGGAGCCAGCTGCGAAAAAATGTCGAGCTTGTTTTGATACCGGATGGCATTTCATTAATATCTGCACTAATTTATGTCAGGCACTTTGATATTTCACCTTAATGACCAAAGGCCACATTTTTTTCCATGACTCACCCATTCCAAATTTGCTCCAACTTCCTTAGGCCTTTTTTGGGAGGGAGTTTGATTTTTATTTTGTCCTAAACAGTTCACTACACACATGTGAGGAACAATCCGCATGTCAGTCTGTGGCACATTTAACCAACCGAGGGAGAGTTGTTTTTCTTTTACTTGGCCTTTTGAATTTTGTGATGAAGCAAATGGCCCAACAGTGATCTACCGCTACATGATGCCAAACAATTAAAATGAAACGTTTATTAAGGTTAAAATAAACAGGGAGAAAAGGCTGAGATATTTTAAATTACACAAGAGGTGGACTGAACATCAGCGGCAACACGTCTGATGAATGATGGAATGAGGATTTGAGGTCAGGAGAGATGTACTACAGTGATTGTCTATAGCCGTCTGTAAAACACAGCAGAGGCTCTGTCTTGGTTTTGTGGCTCCATTACACCCATTGGTGTTGGAGATTTTGTCAAAACTGACTACAAGGACTACATTTAAACATGTTAAAGAATGAAGGCAGTCTTACCAAATATTGATGTTCAAGCTTGTTAGAATTGAACCAAGTCTGTTTTTACATTATACATTATATTATATATGTGTATAACATGTAAGTTTACACATGTTTCAATAAATCACTGCACCCATTTCTCAGTTTCAAATGAGAGGTGGCTCAGTACATGAGGGAACATACTGTATATGTTTTGTTTCTTTTGCAGCTTTGTATACAGCCTGCGGTTGTACACAGTTAATGTCTTGACCAAGTATGTTTCAAATTACACATCAAATTTGAAACTTTGAAACTGGATTTATATTTCAGTTAAGATCTTTGTAACATGTTTATGTTCTCTCAAAAGCTGAGTTTTACAAAAGCTTGCTCGTTTTTAGGGTTAGTAATCACTCCACAGCCACCATCACTGGTCCAGTATCATTTTAAACCATTGAAGCCACAACTGTATGCTCCATGTTAACCTCTCTCAGCTAGTTATTGAAAATCCTTTGAATTCCTTAAAGCAAACTATAATATCACTAGATTTACCAGTGAGTAGTCATCCTTTGTAGTTGCTCTTATTGTACTGTACTCTGCCCAAAGTTTAAATTAAAGGTCTCAAACCTCTTTGCTTTGTTGGTTAAGTTTCAAAGTAGCTTGATTATTGTAGTAGTTTGATATTGCCCATAAGTAACCGACTTTTGTTTTCTTTTTGGTTTCACAGGCTCAATTTCCAGACCAGACACCACATAGCCAGGCTCTCACAAAATCATCCAGCTGCCCTCCTTCCAGCTTTCACACTCTGCCCAATCAAAGCCATGGCCTAAGCCATGTCCAGACCTGTGTTAGCCCAGCTCTTGCTCCAAAGCCACCCAGCGGTGCCCGAGAGGGACAAGTCAGGAGAACGACTGCAAAGCGTCTCGTCAAGTAAGACAAATGTTGGCTCTGGATCACTCTGTTTATTAACCATATGACAGTTATAGAGCATTGTTAAGTTAAATGAAGCCAAGGTCATCTGAACCTCTACTGACATCACCCGACAGAGGTAAATGTCTGAATGTGACGGTACGTCACAGCTGGACTGGTCATTAAATGATCGAGCGAGTGGGTGTCAGTGGTCCTGCCTACTGTCCGCTCTGCTCAGAAAGCTTCTTCACAGAAACTAAGTGCAGTATTTAACAGCAATGAAGAAGAGTGAAGCGGACTATCTCCATTTTTTTGCTACACGTGAAAAAGGGCAAGATCGGACAACGTCCCAGCCTCCTTCACCCTATTACACTTCCCATAGTTCATATGTGAAAACTGCTCATTTAATTTATCGCAGACATAGTGCAGTGTGGTGGCAGGCCCTCCACCACCCCCCCGCTTGTGGAATGAGACAGAGTTCATGGGATTGGTGAGCTCAACAGGACATGGCTAATGCTAATGAGAGTTCGAATATGCGTGTAGTGGAGTGCTCCCAGTCTTTTGGCCGCAGGGTGTATCTACCCGTTCAGTAAACAACCTCATCACAGGCCTGATTTCTGCCTGAACCGTAAACAAAACGTGGTTCAGTGAAAGGGCCTGGACTCGGAGCGCCGTTTAAATCCTGTTTGGTTTGGAGATAAGCTGAAGACTGCATAAGGAAAAATAAAAGGAAAGCAGTGAAGCCGGGCTGAACTGCCAGCTATTTTCCTCACTTATTTTATGACTTTATTACTGCAACATCTGGCAAAATTACCCAACAACAGCAAACCTTTGTGATCGGCGCTGACTGTTTGTTTAAAGTAGGTTGTTGCAGCGGTGAACTGCTCTTCACACTTATTTAATGTTTAAGAGGAAAGGATACCGCTGGACTGGAACACGGGCTGTTTTTGTAGTATTCCGGGTAAGCCCTTACAGTGTGTGAATTACCCCAGAGTCCCAACAGTGCATTTCTCTGTTTGACTTAATTCATTCATTGCAAGTTTGCAGGCCTGCTGATGCCGCAACCGAGCAGAGCCCTGGCTCTGCTGACGTGTTACATCCAGTCATCTGACTGGACTGGACAAACTGTACCTGGCAAGAAAATAGTTAAGAGGGCAGTGCCGTGGTGTAGGGGTTGTATAGAATAGGTTAGCGAGGCCATGTAGGTGCTGTGTTTGCTCGTGTGTGTGCATGTGTGTCTTCCTGGCAGTGGTTGTGTTTACCCTCTGCATGTGGAATTCCTGAGCCCCCTCACACTCTTCTCTGTCCTGCATTTTTGCGGTCGACTAGTGTGACAGTGGAGAGTGTGGGAAAAACGGAAGCTTCAGGACCAAAAATGCGCTGATGGAAACAATGAAGAGAAAGAATAAAGAGAGGAGAAAAGAAAGAATGACAGAAGAGAAAAAAAAAGGTTAACTCTGTCCAGGAGAACGGAGATGATTGTTTGCAGAAAACGGTGGGATAATAAGTTGCTTCCCTTTATTTCCAGCCCACATTTTAGGGGCAACTTAATACCCCTGTTATTGAGGCACATCTGAAACACATCCCAGTATAGGCTTAAGCCCCTCCAGCTTATAATAGTATCACTGTGCTGGATGTGTTCAAGCAGTTCAAGGTTATCCACCTTGAACACCTTCCTCCAGCCAACTGTAAAACTGTTGTTCGATATAAATACACCAGCACTGGCTTTGGCTGGTTTCCCCACCGCTGATGATCATCGACAGCTTTTAGTTAAATCTATTGATCAGAATGAGATTTGCATTTTTGAACATTTGTGATCCAATTTGATCCAACCAAATAGTTTCCTTCAAGTAAAAGTTTATTGGGGTTGTTTTTTTGGTCCCAAAGTTGGAAATGTTATCCACCGAGCGGGCAAGGTGACTGTGTAAAGTCACTTTTAAGTAAAGCTGAACGGAGACTGGTGCACTCTCATGAATGACAGTGCCTTTGATTTTAAGCTCAGCTAACACACTTGAAGCAAATGTGCAGCTTGTTGGTATCACACTCAACAGGGCAGGGCTCTGTCTGCTCTATCAACATACCACAGCTGCCAACTCGAGGGGCTGCAAGAGCTCAAAGTGGTATGACTTCAGTGAAGGCTTTGAAAGGAGCAATTTGTAACACAAATAAATGAGCCTGTTTGGTATTTTGTTTGCAAGGTTTGGTTAGTCGCAGCTGTAACTACGGAAACCCAGGCTGTCGTGTGGCATTACTAATAGGGTGACAATTACAGCAGCACCATTAATGTCAGCCTAGCTGCTGCTTTCACTCCCTATTAATCAGCCACAACAGTAGTTATTTTCACGGGATACTGTATACACACAGAAGCTGCCAAACGTGTGTTTATGGTTAAACTTTATCCCCTTTGGTCAGTTTGAGTAACATTAAGTCACGCTAACTACCTGAGCGCACCGAAAAGTAAAGCCGCACATCTGCTGTGTTTACATAAGAACTTCAGCTCTGTGAGAATAGCGCGAAATTTTCGGCACTGGGTCATGTGTCATGTGCGCACACTGCAAGTTCAGAGTCGGTTCTCACCAGCAGTGTTTCTGGCTGCTGTCTGACTCTTGAAGTGACAGAGTGAGACTGTTGACAAAGAAAGTGATGTGAAGAACCCAGAGGTCAAGTTTTTTTTTTTTCGCCCCCCTGAATATGAAAGGGGTTTCTTCCTGTTGAGTTATGCCTCGCTTAAAGTGGGCCAGTTCTATTTGTGGTTGTGTAATGGTATGAAAGAACAACTGTGCAGCCCCTTACAAGGAGGCAGTGTGTACCCTCATTACCTTATTAATGCTCTTTTGGCAAGCTGCTGTCCTGGGGCGAGAGGTTAATGCCAGCTAAGCTTTATTTATTGTTCCCTCTAAAAAATGGTTAGCAGATTTAATGTATAAGGTTGCAGACACGTCTGCTCCTGCTTTATGCTTCAGTAGCTCTTATAATGATTTTCTGTTTGAAAATGTTATGTTTGCAGCCGGATTATGTGAAAAGGGCAGTGCAATTCCTTGTTTACGGTCGTCAGACTGTATGTATGACGCATTGTAAGAATTCTGGGCTCTGCCTCCGTGTTCCTTTTCTCTCTGTAATCTTTGCTCATAGTCGACATAGTCCCTAATCACTACAGTGTTCTTGCCAGTGTGACAATCACATCACCAAGGACAAGGAGAAGGAATTTCTCCCCTTCGTGTCACAATAGCTCCTGTGAGGCACTCAGTAAACACTTAGCCTCACCAACCTCCAGTGACTGCACACAAAGAGCAACTGTTAGATGCTGACTTCACTTTTCTTATGACAGAAGGTGGCTTGTCAGGCATTTTATACACAAATGAGTCTTAAAAAGCAGAAAAGTGTCTTGGTTAGGATGACATGAGCTGCGAGGATCAGAACATGTAGCCTCTCTGACCAATAGATACTAATTACCCAAGTGATACTGTAGTTATTATGACATTTTATTTCATTTATAGTATAGTATCAAGCGATATTAACGATTTGCAATCTATTGGTATCTGCTTTTCTAATAACCAATAAATGATGGTTAAAAAAGTAAAGAGGAGACAGGAGAAACACCCTTCAACTATATTATAAATGTTGGCATTGCATAGCTTGCAATCTGCAGCTTCCTTGTTGGAAACGCACTGCTTGGAATGCCACAACACAACCAGCTGATCTGAGCAGAGCCTGGCAGATCATAAATGAGTACACAAATAATTACACTTAAAACATTTAAGGGCATCTGTTTTTTGTTTCATGTGTTTAAAAGAAAGAAAAATATCAGCTCATATGTCGAATCTCCAAATATCGGTATCAGTTATTAAACTACTATAGAAAAATACCACACTCCACCAGGTTCTGCTCCGAAATATTTCAGTGTTGGCATTTATCTTCTTGGCACAATTTGAATTACCACAAAGGCTGTTTGGAGTACTTTGGCATGTGTGTACATGTATATGTGCGTCTCTTTAAGAGGACAGATTTTGTCCCTGTGGATAGCACTGCAGTCCACATTATACCTGGATTTGTGGTGGCAAACATACAGCCCGTGGGCTATAACTGGCCCATTAAAGGGTCCCATTCGCCCCACTGGAAGGCTTTAATATCAATGAAATCCACGGTTTACTACACAGCAGTGAAAATCTGTGCAACATTAAGGGCATTTCTAGATCTTTAAAAATTGTTTAAATAATAAATAACGCTGCTATGTTAATGAGATTGGGCTGTGCGTGATCCATGAAGTAGATTGATTTGGATGAACTCTAGATGAACTACGATGGGAAAAGGTCTTTTAGCTTTAGGGAAGGAATTGTCAGCGATCCTTTGGTACTCCTGCTTCCAGCACTCTTTCATTCAGTACTCACAGCTTTTGCAGCACACATTTTTGAGCTCTGGCTTAACACACCTTTATAGCTTTGTGACTCTGTCTTGAACAGTTGCAAAATGATAATATTTTGAATAAAAGTTGGGGGGGGGAAAGAAAACTCTTTTGCAATGGCAAAATGTATAAAAAACCTTTCTCTGTAATAGTCGTAGATACAGAGGGTGTCTCCAGGAAACACACAGGGTGAAAACCAAACATGCTACAGTATTGCAGCTGGAAACAATCACACACGCTGAAAACCAGTTTTCTTTATATATTTAGTTTGATATTTTGCTAAAAGCAGAACATTGGCATGAGACATGTGATGTGTACCACAGCTTGGATGAGCGCTGCAGAGACGAATTTGGCCTTTGCAGTGCAGTTCATCTTTGCATAACTCCTCTGGGAATGATAATTTTTGGTCTTCACGGATTTTTGTCCTGTGTCTGATTAACAGGCAGATGTCCTCAGAGAGTTCAGCCAGTGGAACCGTTGCCAGCAGCAAGCAGGTGGTCTACGAGGCCATCTGCAGTAAAACAGGTGGGTTTAATGTTGCAGTTCCACATATTATGCTTAGTGCTCTGCTGTAGTCCTCAGGCAGGAGTGAAGTTATGCCCACTCTATGCCAGTGTTAGTGATTACAGTTAGGCATAGTGGACATTCCCCATGGAGGTCTGACTAACACCACATGATATTTTTACCCACCTCCTGCTCGTTCAGTCGTGTGCAGGATCCGTAAATGTTTTCGACACACTGTAAGAAAGTAAATAAATAGATACATACATACATAAAGGCATTGTTAAGTGATTAATTAATTACAACCCTGTTAGAGGAGTGAGGCTCTATTAATTAGGTCTTACAGTGATTTGTGCCCCATTAAGGGTTTGTGCCAAAAAGAGTTAAAGCAGCCAGAGCTGGAAGAGCAAAAGCAAAATTTCCATTGCAGTCATTTTCTGTTTGAAGAAGACCTAGCATGCCGTTTACCAGCTCCATGTTTTTTGCTTCTTGTGCTTTACTAGAGAAGTTTTGCACCAGTAACTGTTCAAAATAGTTCTTATTTATCTTATACTGGGTCTTGGTGCAGGCCCTGAGTTCATGCTCCATCTGAAACAAGCTGATTTAGCTCCTCCGCCTTAAAGGCCGCTGTCCCTTTAAATTGAATCAAAATCAAATCAAATTTATTCACAGGACAAGTCAAGACATAAAACATAACCAGAATACTTTTCTCTTACGTGTTTAGTAAATACTATAATGTCATTATTTGAAACTTTTTCTGTGTGACAGTGTATAACAGAAGATAAGGTAAAGCATAAAAGGTCCTCTGTAGTTGTACAGTCCTGTGCAAAAGTCTTGCATCACCCTTCATTTCTTTCTATTTTTCCAGGAAAATGTCGTTTTTTGAAACCTGTGCAAACATACATACTCTATTTGTATGTTGGCTGGTTCTGTTCTCTGTTAAGATGACCCCACAGTGTTTATAATGTCGAGGTCCAGGCTTTGGGGAGGTCAATCCATGATAGTGTTTCATTATGTGTTTTTCTATCCAGGTATGCTTTTACTGCTTTGGCAGTGTGTTTAGGATCATTGCCATGCTGAAAAATGAAGCTGTTGCCAAACAGATATTTTCCCTGTGGTATTACTAGTGAATCAAAATCTCATGGTACTTTCATGTGTTTGCATTTTTGTATTAGTGCTGACACCATGACCATGACAGAGCCTCCGCCATGTTTTACAGATGGCTGTGAATACTCACTGTTGTACCTCTGTCCTTTGTACAAAAGAAATTGAAATTTGGATTCGTCACTTCATCCGATTTGTTGCCAGATGCAGCTCTCAGGTCTTGTGTCAGGTCTTTGCTCTGACTTTTTTCTTATTTCTTAAGGACTTGACTTTCACAAACTGTTCATCTACTGTGGATAGTTTTTTTAAGCCTGCCACTTCTTCTTTTGGCCTCCTCTTGTTCAGTCTCCTCAACTTTTTTAAAGATGCTGTACATGCAGCGCTCACATATGCCACGTTTTGGTTAATAGCAAAAAAAAATACTATTTTATGTCTGAAAATGAGGGGTGGCTCAAAGCTTTTACACAGTACTGTGTGTTCTGCATGTGTTCAGATCCAGAGGAACGACACCACTCTGGGATTAAAAGGCACAGCAGTGAAGACATCTTTTTTTGAGATCAACGGATGGGAACATTTGGGGCATTTCCATCTGTTGGCCATTGCCATGCAGTTGTAATTACTGTCCATTTGCCAAATGCTGTACCGAATAAATAACACCTCTCAAGAGAATGACAAATGCAACTCAGACTTTGTGGGTTCGTGCACTCACGTGTGTGCTTCTGTCATCTTGCCTTATTTCCACAGCTCTTTCCATCCTGAGAGAAGTGTTGAGCTTATTGCAGTGATATTAAGCAGTTTGCGCTTATGCACACATCTGTTTGCCTGATCACGGGCTTTTTCCACAGCACTACTATACATTAGCATTAGAAAATCACACCATTCTTCACATCATGTCAGTGTCGCAGTCAAGCGAGATCAGCTTGTTGGAAAAACGCAGTAGCTGTGCATCGACCTGTCATCCCTACAACTCCTATCCACACTAAAACACACACACACACACAAAATATTTTTTTAGTTCTCCATTTTCCTCCTCTTCCCAAACTATGAAACCTGGCTAAGGTTAACAAACATCTTACAAACTCATCAATTACTGTAACTGGATCCTTTGGGAGCAACTTCTGCATTTAATGAATGCATTTTTTTCCACTGTTCAGGGTGCAAAGGGTGCTTCACTCATGAATTAAAACATATCACTAATATATATATATATACATACATACATACGTGTGTGTGTGTGTGGAGAGTTAAACCACTTAGTGGTGCAGGTTTAACCATGCGTTTTTAAATGAGGCTGAGGGTAAAACGGAGACTCTGTGTGGTGTTTTGGCAGAGGGAGGGGTTATTGAAAGGGACACAGCCTTTGTGGAGCTTCAGAGTGCATCAGGTCTTTCTGCCTGTCATCTCATAACAGAGGTACACCGGTACCTCTGTTATGAGATGACTGAGCTCCCCTGATCGACTCTGACAGGCAGTTAGAGCGAGTCCAAATGGAGAGCATTCTCTCTGATCAGCTGTCAGCCGTCATTAATCACACTCTCCCTTTATCTCTCTCTTGTGCTCTCTCATAATATCTTCCTCTCTTTGCTCCTGAAACCCTCCCTTTATCCTCTGCAAACCTTTTCTGCTCACTAACCCCCGCCTCGCCCTTTTCCCCACTTCTTCTGTGTTGATTTTTGACATGACACGAGGGCGGGATTTTGATGAAGACCAACCGGAGCTAACAAGACGAGATCGTATCGGCCACATGTGTTTCAGAGTGCTTCCCTTGAAGTTTCCTTGAAGCTCTCAGTGCTCCACAGTCGGTGACTGTGAGGAGATTTATTGCTTGAGTTTGAGAAGGAAATGAATGCTGAACTTGGGTCAATTTAATGGAAGTCTGATCATGTCAGGACAGATGGCTTAGGCCTCTCTCTATCAAAATAAGACTGTGTGGTGTATTGTTAGGATAGGAAGGTAGTTTTTGGCTGCCATCCCTGTTTTCAGATATATTATGTAAGTTACTGGATTTAATTTACCAGATGGATTTGTAATTGACTCACTCTACTGAACTATGTATGTGAGTAGGCATTTTATTGGTAGATTAAGATTTAGTGTAGGGTATGTAATACAGTGGTGTGAAAAAAATGTTTGCCCCTGTCCTGATTTCCTATTTTTTGTATGTTTGTCACACTTAAATGGTTCAGATTGTCAAATAAATTTAAATATTACACAAAGATAACACAAATAAACACAAAATCCAGTTTTTTGATGAAGGTGTTTATTATTAAGTGGGGAAAAAATCCAAACCTGCATGGGCCTGCGTGAAAAAGTGATTGCCCCCTAAACCCAATAAGTGGTTGGGCCACCCTTAGTATCAACAACTGCACTCAAGCATTTGGGATAAGTGGCATTGAGTCTTTTACATCGCTGTGGAGGAACTTTGGCCCACTCATCCTTGCAGAATTGTTGTAATTCAGCCACACTGGAGGGTTTTCAAGCATGAACCACCTTTTTAAGGTCATGCCACAGCATCTCAATCAGATTCAGGTCAGGATTTTGACTAGACAACTCGAAAAGTCTTTTTTTGTGTTTTTCTTAAGGCATTCAGAAGTGGACTTGCTGGTGTGTTTTGGGTCTTTGTCCTGCTGCAAAACTCAAGTGCACTTCAACTTGAGGTCATGAACAGATGGCCGGATATTCTCCTTCAGGATGTTTTTGTAGATTGCAGAATTCACAGTTCCATGTAGCAGAGTAAGTCTTCCAGGTCCTGAGGCAGCAAAAAAAGCCCCAGGATATTACACTACCACTGCCATAGTTTACTGTTGGTATGATGTTCCTTTTCTGAAATGCTCTGTTAGTTTTGTTCCAGATGTAACTTGACTGAAACCTTCAAAAAAGTTCACCTTTTGTCTCATCAGTCCGCAGAATATTCTTCCCCAAATCTTGGGGATCATCAGGATGTTTTTGGCAAATGTGAGACAAGCTTTCGTGTTGTCAATCTTTCTTACTGTTGAATCATGAACTCTGACCTTAACTGAGAGATGTGAAGCCTGTGGTTCTTTAATGTTGTTTTGGGTTCTTCCGTAACCTCCTGGATGAGTCGTTGAAATGCTCTTGGAGTAATTTTGGCTTCACCATTGTTCCAAGTTTTCTCCTACTTCTACAACGGCTCTCACAGTGGTTCACTTGAGTCTCAAACAGAGCTGGGCAGTAACGCGTTACTGTAATCCGATTACTTTTTTCAAGTAATGTAATTAGATTACTGTTACTTTCCCGTAAGCATGCTGCTGTACTGCGTTACTAAACTGTGATTTAGTTTGTGAGAGTGTCTCATGACAATGACGTACAAGTGTGTGACGTCCATGGCAGCAACAGATGTGTGTAGATCAACAATGGATAATATGGAGTCCGGGAGAGAGCACGACCGTGCAGTGTTTAAAGCTTGGAAGTACTGACATTACTTTAAGTTTGATTGCGTGAAAAGTGATAAAAACATTAGCGTCCACAGTACAATCTACATGGGAAGAAAACTTCTTTCCGCAGCGAAAAATTAAACTTCAAATCTGAGCAAGTACCTAGCACGCTGCCACGAGAGTGTGAAATTCACAGGGAAAGGGGTTAGGGGTTGCAATGTGCATAAAGTTAACAGATTAAAACTAAAAAAAAATATTTAAAGGAGACTTTTTAATTTGATTCAATTTTATATCATGAAATATGCAGAAAAATAGAATTGGGCTTTAAGGTCTATTGCTTTTGAATTACTTTTGAAAATAAGTAATCAGTAACTTTAATGTAAAGTAACTGGATTGCCTTCTTGGAGAAGTAATCAGTAATTAGTAATTAATAACTATTTTCAAGTAACTTGTCCAACACTGGTCCCAAGGCCATTCTTTGAGACCCTTTCCAGACTGACTTTGTTTCTCAGGTCTTTCTTCAGATTGTGACATGATGTACTGCCAGGTTCACTTTGTCAGACAGCTTCTATTTGAGTGATTTCTTGATTCATCAGGTCTTCCAGTAATTGTTTTTGTTTTTAGTGAAGCTGAGCACGGCTTTCCAAAAAATGTGATTAATCACAGGTAATTCATGATTTAACAAGAGGGGCAATTACCTGGTCCTGTGTGAAAAAGTAGGCTTGTATAACCTTTCTCCTATAATCAATGATCATAATCAATCATCATTTAAAAACTGCATTTCCTATTTACTCAGGTTATCTTTGTCTAATATTAAAATTAGTTTGATGATTTGAAACATGCAAGTGGGACAAATATGCAAAACACTAGAAAATCAGGAAGGGGGAAAACACTTTTTCACACCACTGTGCAGCGTTTGACTGAAGTTGTTGTTAGTTACCGTTTCAACCTTTTAAGTTTAGCTTGCTTGACGATCCCTTGATTTCTCCTTCTCGTTTCAGTTTCATTCAGAGTGGGCTATAAAGCAGAGAATATTGTCCCTTTATCTTTCTTTTGCTGAGCTAGAGGAAGCCACTTCCAGCAGCCCTGTCATCGGGTTGGAAGCGAGGGAGATGTTTTTCGTTTTCCAGCTCAGTCAGTCAGTCCTCGCAGTGTAAAAAAGCACCAAAACAAACTGTGCAGAGAGGGAATGAAAGGGAATACTGTTTGGGAGCACAAACACAGCAGCTCCAACTGTACTTGGAATGTCTTTTTCTACCGGATACCTGGCTGCACGCCAGCCGATAGGATCAGGGGGTGAAGGGGTTGAACACGAACAACTGAGCTGACTGACGAGATCAGCTGGTATCCACCTTGACCATGAATAATTGAAGAGGTGGACTCCACAACGGTTTAGCAAACTCTTCTGAAGAAAAACTCTTTTGGGCTTCTGTTTCTGTACACATGAGGGGTAGACCTTTGACTGCCTTTCTCACTCTTGTTATTTCTTCTTCTTTTTTTTGTTCTTTTAAAAAAAATAATAAAGGTCTTTCTGCATACCGCAAGCTGTTCCAGGATCAGGAGCCCACTCACAGATGACACGAAGGCGACCAGAGGCACGTCCTGCCACTCTGCAGGCCTGACAGGTGTCTCTGCATGTAACTGCATCTCACAGAGGTTTATTCTGGGACGGGACAACAGATAAAAGTATGCCACACATCGAACAGGGTCCTATTAATTTCTCAATGATACAGCCACAGACATGCAAGAGGATAGTGTGCCAGGCCAAAAATGCCCGGCTTTGACGCAGGTCGGGATTTTGTTGCGCAGCTCCACCCCCTCCCCTCATCGCCCTTGGCTACAATCAGTCCGTATCCCACAGTGCCCGCCCTCATTCTCTCCATGCTGTTGATGCCACAGGAAGATTTCACTGACAGATAGCCTTCAGCAGATGGTTCTTCAAGCCCTGTTGGTATTTTAACTACAGGATTCGTTGTTTTATTCTGTGCTCAGGCAGTAGCATGTCCACCACAACCATGCGTGCACATTTTTCTTCTTTTCTCTTTTTCTTTTCTTTTTTTAAACACAGGTGATATGCGGGTTTTGGTAATGAGAGACCTCTGTTAAGTTTTTGACAAGCATTGTTCAGCCCGCATGAGCAACTTCTCATTTTACAGTCATGAATGATAAGTGTGCAGAGAAGTTCTTTTCATGTGTGGCTTTCCAGCGTTAGACACTCCTGACTCCCACTCCTCGCTGGAAGCCACACAGTTGCCAAATCTGACTCCTCTGCCTTTTCGCCCTGAGGACATGTTAAGCATAGCACCCTTTTTCTTGTGGGCCTGATAATAAAATGTGATTAATGTTGTTCCCTTGTTTGTATCTACAAAGATGACCCAACAGGGATGTTCAGGTTTCATGTAAAGAATGCAGTCGGCTTGTGATTATTCCTGTAAACTGTTGAGATGCTGATATTGTTTTTCTGGATGGACCAAATTCATTATTTTTGATTAAAAAATAAATAAATTATTGTCATTACATCAGTATTTATTTACTGTACATTGTCCAGCGTAACCTTTTTGGCCCATTTCTGTAGCTCAAAGCCTAAAATAAAAAGGAAAAGATCTATAATGAAGGTCGATGCTGCACCAGGAGACCAGTATCCTCACAGATATTCTGTGGCTTGGGACCATATAGTGAGTTCACTCAGGGGTGTGTTTATTTAAAAAAAAGAAGATGTGAGGTAGTGGTCAGCAGTTTTACCATGTGTTTATAATAACTTTGGCTGAAATACTTGAATTTTGTGCATGATTTTCTCACATCAGCTGATGACTATCACCTGGGTGAGTGTGCACAGATTGTAGTTTTCAATGCAGTACAACAGGTCAACTGTTTTAACATGTAACTTGACGGTGAATGTTTTTGTAACATGTGCTCTTTGACGTCATGTTGTGAAGTCCGACCTATTAAAGCCAGAACTCCCAAAAGCAAGATCCAAATCAGTGTGTGTAATGTAATGTGGTGACAGCGTTGTTTACAATGTAAAGAAAAGAAAACTGAGACGAAAAACAACTCCTTTCCTCTAATAGTAAATATTTATGTTTTATTAATACATTTAACAGTAATTTGCTCATACAGGTGTCCCCTCTTGGATTTTCCCTTTATAGCTAATGTCTCTCCTATTCAATTCCCATATTAAGAAAAATACAAAGAGGCCACTAGGATGAGTAAATCACTGTATGGGATGTGAGTTTTTGAGACATGCTTAGAAAACATAAACATTTACTACAGGTGTTTTTTCTTTGTTTATTTTCCATATGGGCTGTACCATGTTATAATCTCTTTGACTGTTTACAATATGCATGGAAATGTAGTATTTTTGGGACCAGTGAGGCTGTTTGTAGCAAACAAAATTGAAATGAATACTTGGAAAGCATTAAAAAACACGATGACTGTGACTCTAACCACTTTTGTTCATTTTGTTCGAACACTTGAAATTCAGCCCCTGACCTTTTGAAATAAAAACACCCTAAAACATGTGTAAACTAAAACATAAATACCACAACAGTAAAGGAGAAAAAAACGAACTGTCCAACATTTTTAATTAAAAAAAAAAAGTGTTTCCAAGAGTAATAAGAAAAACATTTACAGTTTGTGATCTATTAAAGTTCACTTAGTGACATTACATCATCTCATACAACAGAAAAGGCTTCATTTAAAAACAAAACAATCCCTGGAATCACCAGTCCTGTTGCATTATAGAGGTAAACATAACCATGGAAATACTACTTTGAAATAACGATCGGTTTCCAGCATGTTGTCTTTTCATTTAGATCATTTTTAATCGACAGCATTTAATCCTAAACAAACAGTGTAGGGAGCCGCGGCGCGCACAGCGTCAGTTTCCAGCTCGGACTTTTTGAATGTGTCCCGTGTGATGTGTTTGCTCTCTTTTGGCGTATGCTGAGTTTAGTCTGCATTCTGAGTCCTTCTCTGTCTCTCCCTCTCTCTCTTTTTAATGCATCCTTGAGAATGGATCAGTCATTTATTGTTCTGTTTCTCTTTCACTGAAAATGGCCTTTGATTACCAATAGTCGTGGACATGAGGTACAAAATGCTGGAAAAACAAAAAAATATGAGAAACACTGATGTCAAAAAGTAATTAACTACCAAGAGGTCTGATGGGTTTGAGAGCGCTGTTGGTGAAGTGGTGTATGACAGGTCTTCTAAGTATAGCTGTAGTGGACTCCATCTCTTTTTTCGTTTGTTTTTTAAGAGCTTGGGCAAAGCTAAAGCATGGGAAAGAGGTACTCATGGAGGCCAACCTGTACATTGCCCGCTTTAATTCCTCATACCCGCTTCGGGCAGTGCTGGGAGTGATCAAATCCCATGCCTTGCTTCTCACAGGGCACCCCCCCCCCCCCTTCCCTCCCTCGAAGACCTTGAAGTTTAGCTGCACTTGCAGGACTTGACGACCATGTTTGAAAGCTGCTCGACTTTCGGGGAGCGACCCACGTAGTAGAGGATGGTTAGGGGCTCCAAGTCCTGAGGAACACAGCAGGGAGAGGCGGACGCTTCTGGGTTCAAGGTGTTGTACAGGCTCAGCAGCTGTGAAAGGAAGATGACAAAAGAGATGAGGGTTGGCAAGCACATTTCCAAACACCAAAACGGATTCGAGAAGTGGCACTTTTTCTCACCGAGCTGTGGGTGGTGTCTGCACTGCGTAGGTAAGGACAGGGACCAGAGCAGAAGTTGGCATAGTACCCTTCGGGCTGGTGTATCCACCTCCATCCCAGATCCTCACGGAAATTAATATATAGTTGTCGCACGCAGCAGTTCTCCTCGTAATTGCTGCAGAAATGAAAGGGGGAGACAATGATTACCCTCTTGATTTGGAGGATAACACGCAAATTTAAGTATACATTTTCCGCCCCGTGGCCTCAGTCAGAGATGAGACTCAAGTTCAGAAATTCCAGTCTTAGGTGTGCCCTTTTTTTTCCCTCTTGGAGTCAGCCCAGGTGTCTTTGGTACTGCCTGTCATAGGAAATCCAGAGTTGAGGAGACGGTGTGTAAGAGGCGGTAGTGTTTGCTAGTACCGAGACAGATCCTGACTTGTATAATCTAGTACCTCCGCCATGCTCATCTGGGTGATTAACAAGTTTATTGCATGTATTCTTTGTGTGTTCTGCGCTTATTTACACGTCTTCCCTGTCATGTTTTTTGAAACGTGACAGCTGATATTTTAATTGGATGCGGGTGCTTTATTCAAGTGTCCCTGGAATATTAGCCCAGTAGGCAAATGTCTTAAATTGTCAGCGCAGGTGCAGCCAGAGAGAAACGGTTTTGGGAGAATTTATTTTAAGATGATGAGCAATAGTCTAAGTAGTGCATTACATTTTCCAGGGGGAGCGAATGAGGCTTACTTGAAGCAGTAATTGGTGTCAAGTGCCCGCTTGCGCCTTCGGGAGGAAGCCTGGGCATCCAGCCTGTGGGGAGGGAGCATCATGAGGATGAGGTGGGGGTACAGCTGCTCCTTTTGGCTTTTCACACGGCTCTGCTCGTCATACTCTGCTTCCATCCCTGCAGGAGGAGGGTTTTTTTAAAGATATCAAGGGGAAAAAAACTACACATTTTTTTTAAAGACTCTTCAACAGCTGATGTTAGTGAAAGTAAGATTTAGTTTCAGTCAGCATAATCAGTTGTAACTCTTACATATGAATACTCTCCAGGCCCAACTTCATTCACTTCTGTCTCACTTTTCTTCCCTTCCTGGATTTCACACTGGTCCCTCTAACTTCCTTTCTTCCCCTCCATTCTCCCCCTGGGCCAGTGTCTGCTCATCCACTCTATCCCTGATAGCTAAAGCAGTGGATATCTCAGGAGAGATGCTGCTGGTGGATATGTACGGCCCTCTTTAATTTGGGGCCAAACGTCTGAGCGCCGTGGCAGCACATTCCTTGTGGCCAAGCCAGTCAAGAGCGTTCCCAGGACCGAGGGCCTGGGGGCCCCAGCGCTAAGTGAGATACCAGATCGATTGTATTCCCATGCTCTGTGCCTCTCTCTCTTCCTCTTAGAAAGGAAACCCATTATCTTAACAAAAAGACCTCAGTGAGTTTTGCTGCTAGAGGAACATGTTGATGACTGGACTGGAAAGTACTTTTATAGACCGGTTGCATAATAATAAAAGTATTGTGAGTGATATTTTATGACAAATGCATCCTAATTCACCATGAGAAACATTTTTGTAGAGCACACGAGGACTCCTCATCAGTGCTTCAGGCAACTTTAATTGAGGCAGTAAATGCACTAAAACAAAAGATTTCTTTTTGAAATGTAGGCCAAAAATCCAGAAATTTCCAGTCTACCTCCTTTTGTACAAGTATCTCTCTGCCAACTCGACACAGCATCAGCAAACAGAGCAAAAGATTTATAGCTGTTATTCAACATTAATACAGGGAGTGCAGAATTATCAGGCAAATGAGTATTTTGTCCACATCATCCTCTTCATGCATGTTGTCTTACTCCAAGCTGTATAGGCTCGAAAGCCTACTACCAATTAAGCATATTAGGTGATGTGCATCTCTGTAATGAGAAGGGGTGTGGTCTAATGACATCAACACCCTATATCAGGTGTGCATAATTATTAGGCAACGTCCTTTCCTTTGGCAAAATGGGTCAAAAGAAGGACTTGACAGGCTCAGAAAAGTCAAAAATAGTGAGATATCTTGCAGAGGGATGCAGCAGTCTCAAAATTGCAAAGCTTCTGAAGCGTGATCATCGAACAATCAAGCGTTTCATTCAAAATAGTCAACAGGGTCGCAAGAAGCGTGTGGAAAAACCAAGACGCAAAATAACTGCCCATGAACTGAGAAAAGTCAAGCGTGCAGCTGCCAAGATGCCACTTGCCACCAGTTTGGCCATATTTCAGAGCTGCAACATCACTGGAGTGCCCAAAAGCACAAGGTGTGCAATACTCAGAGACATGGCCAAGGTAAGAAAGGCTGAAAGACGACCACCACTGAACAAGACACACAAGCTGAAACGTCAAGACTGGGCCAAGAAACATCTCAAGACTGGTTTTTCTAAGGTTTTATGGACTGATGAAATGAGAGTGAGTCTTGATGGGCCAGATGGATGGGCCCGTGGCTGGATTGGTAAAGGGCAGAGAGCTCCAGTCCGACTCAGACGCCAGCAAGGTGGAGGTGGAGTACTGGTTTGGGCTGGTATCATCAAAGATGAGCTTGTGGGGCCTTTTCGGGTTGAGGATGGAGTCAAGCTCAACTCCCAGTCCTACTGCCAGTTTCTGGAAGACACCTTCTTCAAGCAGTGGTACAGGAAGAAGTCTGCATCCTTCAAGAAAAACATGATTTTCATGCAGGACAATGCTCCATCACACGCGTCCAAGTACTCCACAGCGTGGCTGCAAGAAAGGGTATAAAAGAAGAAAAACTAATGACATGGCCTCCTTGTTCACCTGATCTGGACCCCATTGAGAACCTGTGGTCCATCATCAAATGTGAGATTTACAAGGAGGGAAAACAGTACACCTCTCTGAACAGTGTCTGGGAGGCTGTGGTTGCTGCTGCACGCAATGTTGATGGTGAACAGATCAAAACACTGACAGAATCCATGGATGGCAGGCTTTTGAGTGTCCTTGCAAAGAAAGGTGGCTATATTGGTCGCTGATTTGTTTTTGTTTTGTTTTTGAATGTCAGAAATGTATATTTGTGAATGTGGAGATGTTATATTGGTTTGACTGGTAAAAATAAATCATTGAAATGGGTATATATTTGTTTTTTGTTAAGTTGCCTAATAATTCTGCACAGTAATAGTCACCTGCACACACAGATATCCCCCTAAAATAGCTAAAACTACAAACAAACTAAAAACTACTTCCACAAACATTCAGCTTTGATATTAATGAGTTTTTTGGGTTCATTGAGAACATGGTTGTTGTTCAATAATAACATTATTCCTCAAAAATACTACTTGCCTAATAATTCTGCACTCCCTGTAGAGACAAGCGTGTGTCAAGATCCGCTGATAACTAATGAGCAAAAAGACATAAAAGAGCACCACCACTGAATCAGCTAGTCCTGAGACCCCCTAATGTAAATCATCCGAAAAACCACCTGTGCCTCTGCAGCACTAATGAGAATAAATGGAATTTTTCAACAGAAAAATAGATGCCTATCTTCAACGCTTGACAAATCAAACAAAAGCCAAACAAACTGAAGCGCTATCTGGCTCGTAATCATTAATACAACATCTCAAGAGACTGAAAGATCAAAAGCAGAGAAAAATCCTGACCAAACACAGACTCAGAGACCACAGTCTGGGCCAGGGAGTTGGGACAACACACGAGTCTCGGAAACCTATAGAAAGAGGCCGAGTCTGAGACTGAATTCCTGGAGCTATTTGTTAGATTTCTGATTTCACAGTGAATGAAAGCAACAACAGTGAAAGTGTTGCAGTGGAAGGTTTTCAGTTAGACAGCCGAGGAGAACGATTGTGTATTTTTCTTGCTTCCAGTCATAGTGCTTGCGACGTTAAGTTACACTGCTTCATATTCATTGTGGAGAGAAGAGAGAAGCCTCGTTCTCCTCATTTAGTTCTTCACTTGTTTTCCTAATTTTACCTGAAAACACTCTTCTTGATTTATTTACCTGATCACAGTTTAAAGCCTTGTTAAAAGCACAACGTTCATAACTCTGTGAAATCCATCACAAGTTGGGTATCAAATGCAATCTCACCTTTGAACTTGACCTCTAGTACCTCATGGGCATTCTCAATTATATCGCCATTAGGCCTGAAGGTGTGGCAGGGGCAATGCACACTGATCTCCAGGCCGAGATTGGTCCCTGAGGGTGGGGGGAGAGGAACAAGAGCAGAGAGAAGTAAGGAGCAGACATTTTCAGCCCTGAGGCCGTTCTCCTTTGTTTCACACGAGCCGGTTATTATTTGGCAGGACATGTAATAAGGTGTGATGCGAGGAAAATGTGGTGTCCCACTCACGTCGATTCATCAGCCACTCTCTCACCGTCTCCGTAACATCAAAGGAGACCCACTCAGGCGTTCCCTTGGTCAGGACGTTCTTGCCCCCAATGTAGCGCTGTTTGGCTTTGGGGTCATCTTTCTGGAGGATCTGCGAGGAAAGATGAAAATGTGACCCAGCTGCATAAACTCTTTTTATTTTTACACACACATGCGCGCACAGAATCGAGACTGTCTGTCTGAGCCAGACTCTCCAGGATGCCTTTGGGCCAAATGTCTACTCTTCATGGAAAAAGTGACTCCGTGTGTTGATATCCCCATTTTGCAAGTTAATGCCTGTGTCTTACCCTCTTGCCAGTGGGAACCTGGCCGTCCTTCGAGTCAGCCGTTTAAACTTTGACTTATCCTTCACACACAGTGTCAGAAAGTATCTCTGAGGGCATTTAAAGCTGCCGCTCTGTTAGAATGTCGACGCTCCCACTGGGCAAAGACTGACAGCGGAAAATATAGTTTGTATCTGCACCAGCATGTATTTGAACAAAGGTGTTTATCTGTAGGGAGAAATGTGTTTGGGTGGTGGGTATGAGCGGTGCTATGGATAACCAGGTTTCTGAACAATGTCAGCATCTAATCTGTCTTCCTGTGGGAACGAGGGGCGGCAGGGCTGCCAGTGTCAGCCCTCTGCCAGTCAGTTCCAGTCTAAAAAATGTGGGGGCGAGTGAGTGGCTCCATTTACTCCCCCCAGTGGGCGACCCTGCCTCTATCTCCTCCTAGGCTCCTGGAAACAATCTGAAGCCCTGACAGTCTGTATTCAGCACTGGCCAGAGCCTTGCCTCAGAGGCGGTATGCAGTCCGGAGACGCTTGTCTCCCTGGCAGGAAATGTTGGAACCTGATCATTACTTCTAGTCTCTCATGGGAGATTAATGAGGAAACAGAAAAAGAAAAAAATCTATTCCTGCCACCCCACACGAGCCTATACCAGATGTATGCATTAACACGCTTCTAAAATGCTTAAGATCACAGAGATTTATATATATATACTCTGTGCTTAATCCTACATGGATGGACAGCTGCTTTGATTGACAGCTGTGAAAGAAGAAACTGCCGAATGGTAATCTAGGGTTTCTTAAAGACGGCTGCACAAGCTCTTAAATCTGTCCTGATGTAGAATCCATTTGATTTTAACCACACGGAATAATGATCAGCACTTGAAAAGAGAGGTTGAGGGAGCCGGACACCCTAATATAAATGTTTTCATCTTTCTCACTGACCCACACAGGCCTTCTGAGAGAAATTCAGCTCTCCCCCTCTTCACCCCACCCCACCTCTGGACTCTGCTAATAGTGGAAATGAACGGCCAGTTCACACACCTGGTAGAGCTCAATCCTCTGCTCGTTTCTCCTGGCGCTGGGGTTGGGGATCCGCAGGGCTCGAAACTCAGCCCGGAATAAGTTGGTGGCGTTCTTCTCCATGATCGACACATTGAAGCGGAATATCTTGGGGGTGATGCCCCTGGGGCAGTTGGGGAGGTCATCTGCAGGTAAAATGGAAAGAATGACATAAAAGATCTGATTTGTTTTTGGTTTTTTTCTGTATTCCCTTAAGCTCCTACTTCACTGTGAAAAGCATATTTTCACAGTGACATCCTCACAGGGGTGGACATGTTTATTGAGCCGATAATTGATAAACCTTTTGCCGAGGATTCCCTTTCTACAAATTTGAATAGTTTAAAGATAAAAGCAAAAGTTCTATTTTTTTAAAAGAAAAAAAAACAATTTCTAGTCTATCAAGGGAGCCATTACCGCAAACCATCTGCTTATGCTTTGTGCGGTCCGAGTTAGCAACAAGTTGAAGTCATGAAATGAAAACCAAATGTCCCATGTGTTAGTGGAGCAGGCTACAGTGGGACAGCAGCGTGCTCCTCCTCCCACCAGCACTTGAACCCAACAGGTGCTCCGAGGGCTCAGCCAGAAGCCAAGTATTCCCTGGAACTCAGAGGTTTAGCTGGGAACATGCGGGCTCACGTGCTGGAGGAGAACAGCACCTGAGCAGGCACCGAGGAGAGAGAGAGACTCCACCACACCAGGGAGAAGCAATAACTCACTGGACACTGTAACATGGTGCATGTGTGTGTTTATGACTGAACACTGACCTTTAGCACAATCGGCCCAATGAATGGCCACACCGCGATCCCATCTGAAAAAACTTCCTGCTGCATTGAAGCCTTTCTCCTTTTTATACCATAATACCATAGAGCAGTTTATTATTTTAACAGGCCCAGCACATGCACTGTTGAGCAAAACAAGCGCATAGCAAACTTTTTATGAGCCAAGTGGAAACAGTCACTTACAGCCAAGCCATGGCTAATTTATTACTTCAAGCTTAAGCTTTATTACCAAAGCCTCGGATTTGCTGATGGTTGAAAGGGGCACTGCACCTTTAGCTGATTTGCACCTCGAGCAGATTTGGGACAAATGGAAACTCAGAAGTGAGGCCGTTTTCTGTGTCATGCAAAAGGAACTTGCACATCTCCGAGTATCTGTACTTCATTTGACCCATAATCCTATTTCAGTGTCCTCCCAGTCATTATCTGATATTTCCACAAAGTTTTTTTTTCTTTTTGATTTTATTTCAGCTTTCCCTATTTATAGTTTGACCTTTCAGCATTTGTCCCCAGCCAGATATCTGTCCAGCGTTTCCACACAATCTATAAGGAGGAAACCTCAGTAGCCCTTTTCCTCCCCTCACTCACTCACTGCTCCGTCTCCCCCACAGAAGGTGGAAAGCCCCACTTCGAGGGGAGATTTGAAATTCTAATCAAGTCTTTGGTTTCCTTTTTGGATGACCTCATTTTTCCCATTGCAATGGTTTTAGGTGGATTTCACATTATGGCTTATTTTTGCCAAGGGTCTGAAAGGTAATTTGTTCCATGTTGGTGAGTGGAAGGGGATTGCTTGTATAATTAAAGTGAGATACAGTCACAAATTGATTTGACCACCACTCCCGACTCCCCCGTCCATTTTTAGATGATAGAGTTTAAGGCTGAGTATCAGGATGCTGACACAAGCTTAATGTATTAACTGTTTGACACGGCACAGGTTATGTCAATAAGCTTCTCCAGAGTTTAATTTCTACTAGTAAAAAAAATCAAGGTGTATAGTTTTCCATGCCAAACAAAGCAACACTCTATATTTTAAACACTGTATAAGTAATTAAAACAACTTCTCATGTTATTTCTAAAAACGCTGTAAAATAGCACACTGCTCTAAGGTCAGAGCATGCTTATTTTGAGTTTTATTGGGAGAGGCTGTCATTAACACATCTGCAAAAGTATATTTATAGTCACACTTTTAAAAAAACCTGGATAACAAAATGATGCCCGCCTGACTCCATTCTCGCATTATCACCCAATTAATTTGAACATATGGGTTTCAAAGGATGGATTAGGGAGTAAAGTTGTCCAAAATGCCCGAAGACAGACATTTGAATAGTTGCTGCTGCCTCGCCCAGACGCTATCGACCACACCTCAGCTCCTGACACGCGTTCAGCCTCCGGTGTCTGGGATTCTCTCCATGACACGGAATCTCCCGGAACGAAGCTCAAAGGAATCACCTCTCTTTGCTCTTTTGCCCAAAGGATACTTGTGATGTCAGTCTCTCCACAGCTTTGTGGATGTAAACAAAGGAAACAGAAAGCACAAGTCAGCAGGTGCTAGCCAGCTGCTGTGGTGTCTAGATCTCATAAAGCAGAACAGAAATTGCATTAGCTGGAGTTCTCTTATTATTTTCCTGAAATTGCTGCATCTGGGATGTGAATTTGCATCATGCTCTAATGGAAAAGTTTGATTTCCCCTCCCCAGTTAGCCGAGGGTTTAATGTACCAAATTCAAACGTTGCTTTTCATCAGAAATAAGTCCATTCCTACATCGGACTGCAGATATCAGCTATGGCAGTGTGGAGGAAACAATGCAATGAGTGACGACCCCCCCCCCCCCCCCCCCCCCCACTCTCCTCCTACTGGATTGAAGATGAGGAAGCAAAAATGGTAAAGGCGTGGGAGTTTGATGGAGCCATGCTGTTTCTTTGGAAGCAGACCAAAGACCTCTGTCTCTGTTTGTACAGGTGACATCATCTTTCTACTATCCCATATATCAGACACTCTGCTGTCCTCAGAGTTGGTCCTCATTTTTTCTCTACTGACCCAACACTGAGGCAGTGATTGGCTTGAAATTTCACTGAGGCTGCAGGCTCCAATGAGCTAGTCAAGGCCAGTCAGCAGACTCTTAAACTGTTATTGTGTTGCAGGTCGCCCCTCAGTTCAAATATGTCTTTATCTAATTTCCTCAGCAGCACTATCCCCACCGGCTTTGTGATGCACCAGGAAAAAGAAAAGGAAAGGAAGCTCCAAATTCCTGTTCTCACTCAGTTTTGTTTCATCTGCTCATAAATGGCCAAAGCTTTGAATTGCATCGCATTGCATTCGCAGTCGTGTCTAGCAAAGCAGTCTGGGTGCAAGCGTCGCATTAAAGAGTGTGTGAAAGGTTTCTGTTTAACTTCCTAACTAAGCACGAAAAAAGCCAAACTTGACTTTTTTCCCTAAACACTCCCACCTTCCAAAAAGCAGCGAATGCAAAACTCATTAGATTCAGCAGGAATGAAAATGAACTACACAGCAGAAATACCAAGGTGACAGACATTATGTTTCTGCATACTGCAACATGCCCAGCTCTCCTTAAAATTACATAATGGAAAGGAAGAGAAGACTGCTAATTAATGCATGTGGCACCTTCTGTTAATTTAAACAATCTGTGACTCTAGTAAGCTGTTTGGGAAGAAAGTGCTGCCAGTGTGTTCATGTCTTGTATTATCACCTACATTATGGCCCACGGTGTGAGACCAGTGATGTGTCCTGGGCACCTGGCCATCACTGATCCCACTCCTTAGACCTCTGTTTGTTTTGGGAGCTCTGACTACCTCTGACCAGTGGATAAACCCGGAGCTGTGTATTTTGAATGTCAGAAGCACTTTGTGGGACCTGTGAAATGGATTTGATTCAGGGCTTCTGCTGGAACCGGCAGAGGTTCTGCTCAGCGTCACAGCATTGCACAAACACCTGTTGATTTCAGAATCACTACACCGTGCGCTAACCGGCCTCTGACCGTGAGTGGGCACCAATCCAATTGCTCCACTTAGGCTTTCTCTGGAGAATCTGCAGCTCAGCGGGCTTCTGCTTCTGATTTCTGGAACAATCAATGGGCCATAGTTTATACAGGAAATACCAATATGGATGAACGAGGGAATTAGATCATAACGCGGAGCTACTTGAAGGAAATAGTGGGGGGGAAATAGAAGTGAGTGACAGTGGAAGAAAAAATATTGGGGATCTCACGGCCAGAAAAATGGAAATGAGGTATTGGAGTTGGCAATAAATAGCAGATTTAACAGCCTGAGAATTTTCCTCGCTTAGGAATGTGTCAGACTAAGGCTGGGGTTCCCATGGATTTGGTGTGAGGTATGCATGAGGAATTGTGCTCATTCCAATTAGACTGTTTACTTTGCCCTTTCCTCTGCGCGACGCCACGGAGCGTCTGCGCGTAAAAAGCCGCACAGAGAAGAATGGACTTTCACACCAACCGGAAAAAAATATTTGTCTTTCACCCCCCCCCCCCCCCCCCCCCCCTTGTAACCTCGCGTAATAATTAGGTTGGACATCGTGACAAAGATAAAAAGCGTTTGCGCAAGTAACTGGAATGATTTGGGATTGCGTGTGGTCATCAACTCTTCTTTAAAGTTCAAAATAAACCACAATTATGCATCTACACCTAGAACAGGAGGAGTTTCTACTTTATTGGCTTATAAAGGAAAAATTGGAACATTCATAACCCCAAAACAGTACACTCACTGTTTTCTTGTGGCCCATTGATCATGTTGAACTTGTAAATCTCTTTGGCGTAGTACTCTGTCTCCGTGTTATCCTGTCCGCAACTCTGCTGCCGGTCTCTCCCCAGCTCCTCAATGAGCTCCTTGGTGCTGTTATAAAGTGCCAGAACCTGAAACGGTACTTGACTTGGACCTGTTGTTTGAGGCGGACTGGTCATTCGGAGTTTACTGAGAATCTGTCCCCGGACGGCCTCCACTCTCTTTTTCTTTATGTGTTTGATGTCCACTGTGGTGCAAGTGGATAGCAAGAAAGTCACTGTCACACAGTTTGAGAGGAGGAAAAACACAAGTGCTTTGCCCAGATTCATATTTTAATCTGCGTTCGCTCACAGCCGAAGCCTTGTCAAGTAATATTAGAAGAAGGAGAAGAAAAAAATATCCCTTTTTATCTTTTCATTGAAGTCGCGAGTGAGTACTGTTCCTGGAGGAATCCCATTTTCTCGAGTGCTATGTCATCTTTGCCAAATGCGCATTTCCATGGGAGCGAATCCGCGCAATTGTGCAAAAAGGTCTCGACTCTTCAACAAAACTCTTAATTACACTCTTCATTCCCCCTTGTCTCATTCAGGCACCTCTTCCCCTCTCCTTTCTTTGTAGTTTACAGGGACCCGATCTCTCCACCGCCGTTTAGTTGCTCCATTGCATTTGGGGTCTTTCCATCCACTTGTGCAAATATATATATGGAGTCAGTGCGTCTTTGTTGTCTTCTTGCAGTCCAACCTCAAACACACTAAAGACGCTTTCCACGCTCACTCATACTTTATACCCACCATCGGTGACGTTTCTGAGGGAGGGGCCGCGAGCTATAGACCGAGTGCGGACAATGTGCTCAGTCCCACTCCGTAGTAAGATAAATAAGACTTTGAATTTCATGCTGCCAAAGTGTTTGAATCATACGCAGCGTAATATTGGGCAATGAGATTTCGCAAGAGAGAAGGGTTGCATTCATTTGTCAAGTGAATAGCAGCATTTTATGGATGTGGCTGAAATTAAGTCACGTTCTGTTGTGTGCCCCACGCGCGCTCACAGCAGTTCAAAAATCTAAACCTGAGGAGGTTTACGTGCTTAATATTTTTAATCGTGGGCAAAATAAAGTGCCAATGAAGTAAAGTTCAGAGTTAACATGCAGAACTTCTGAGGGTGCGCAAGGGAGCTGCGGTCCTCTGCAAGCTGCTACCGTTCAGCGCCTCCCCAGTATCATAATGAAAGGAGACAGCGACATCTCGCGGACCACGCGGGGAATTGAAGGTACAATTTGATTTCATCTTTATTTTTTGCCTGCGTCCTCAAATGAGATATTTTGCACTGAGGACAAGAGTATCACTTTATCCATTTAGAAAAAAACAACAACAAAACAAAGAAACAAACAAAATAAATATAAAAATAAAAAGCGACAACAATACCTCCTGTTTTTCTTTAGTGATGTAATTTTTACTCTTAAAAATGAATTCATATTATGAGTTTTAAATATATATATATTTGCTTGTTTGTTTGTATTTCCGGACGTAATTATCCAAGGATTTTTTTTAAATTATTTTTTATTTTTTGGACACACCATAATTATCTGTTGACTCACCATTAAATCAGAGAGAAAAATGGGGCATATATTCGGAGTAGGCGTCTTATTTATTCAACAGTAATGTCTGGGGAGCTCCAGTAGTACAAGGAAACATTGTTATCATTACTTTATATACGTTCTCACATACAAACGAGCAGTAGGGGCATTATAGCAGATTCCCTATCAATATCAATACACGCATCTATTTGTTTGTTTGTTTACTTACTAACGATATTTGGGGCGGTCCAAAGGCACTTTCCTCCTGATTTGCGTTACCATGGAGAGCGTTGCTGTGTGACGCCTGGTGGTATCCAGGAAGAAGGTGAACTAGCTGGTAGGAGGAAAAAAATGGACGATAATTTCCAACAAGAAGATGGTGGAACGGCAAGAAATGTAAGTAGGGTCTTATATCATTAAAATGCACATAGCAAGGTAATGGGAGGAAAGTAGCATTCATTCTGAGCTGAGTTGTGGGCACTGTATGACGGTGCAGCGATGCTAGTTAGCTAATTAGCTTTCTGTTTCGCTAATGCGAGCATCAGTAATAGCCAGTCAGTAAATGATATGCCAGTTTAACCTGTCAGTTACCTGCTCAGAATCATCATCATTCACTGTTTTTGAGCACTGGCAGCGGGAAGGTTTGTCTGCGTATTCAGCTAACTTTAACTTCGGGGTTAGCCACAGATGATGCTAGCTGAAATTTCCCCCACAAGCATAGCTCAGTGTTTTGGTAGCTCCGTGTAAACTCTGACCTGGTTCTGTGTCTGGCATTACTCCCTCAGAAAACGTACAGGGAGCATGCATACTGTGTTCCCACTGCTACCGGTTTTCTCCATAAAAGGCAAGAATGCCTGCTGTCCTGATAATGTTTCGGGGATACACTCATCTCTTTTTGTTGGTGCTTGTGGTTCACACACGTTCACATTTCTATAAACTACACAGAAAACATGACTTCAAATCTGAAATAAGACCAACCACTTTTAGTTGACAAAAAGACAATGTTTCATTTGAATTATACTATGTGTCTTTGGACTAATGTAAATATTGATACGTTTTTATTGATAGTAAATCCAATTTTTTTTAATTAATCATATAGGTGATATTCTTTGTGAATCTACTTTTTTTATTCCTCCAACATGTAAGCTTCACGGGTCACTCCATGGAAAATGGGTGCCTCCCACCTGAACCCCTCAGAATCAGATGTTTTGTTTTAATAACTTTAGTTTATATTATATTTAGCTTATATATTGAAGCCATACAAAATTCTGCCTATATGCTATAAATGTTTTCCAAGTTACAGGTCCTTGAAGTAAAAAAGGGGTGGGTTGAGATTTGACGCTTTTTTATTTCCTAATTTTTTTCTGGCAGTTTGTGCCATCATACTCTGTTACATATACTGAAGCTAGGCACTTACGATTTTCATGGCTGAAAAACAGTTTTAAAAACTGCAGCCACATCACTTGTACCCACTCCAAGTTTCACAATCTAAAACCAAAATCTTGTTTTTGTTTTGCGGCTATGCAAACCACACCCATTCATAGTTGTCTTTCACTCAGTATTGTCATGGTTTTAATTCCTTGAACAGATTAAATGGGAGTGGTAAGAAGTGATTATGTTGAAACCGAAAGAATCATGGCTAGAAGATGAGCCTGGTATCAGAATGTAGGTAAAAATGTATCTTTGTTTCTGTTACTTTACATCATAGACATTACTTTGATACAGTTTTGCTATTTGAACAATGATCTGTGGAAAGATATTGATCCTCAAAGTTGTAGAAAATGTCATGCTGAACCAAAATAACATTTTGGTTTCAGATTGTAATATTTGGAGTGGGCGCTGTTTTTAAAACTGCTTAAAGGTACAGTGTTTTAAAATCTCACCATGAGATATTAGTAGATTGCAAATTGGTACATAATCTGCTGTCAAGAAGGAAGGTGTGATTTGTTTAAGGACACTTGAGCCTAACATTAGCTGGCATAATGTTAGCTTATATCCAGCTGTTGTTGTTGTTTAGCCGGCTTGTTGTCAGCTGTCTGGAGCAATGACAATAGAAAACAGTTTTCTACTGTCACTTGTCTGGAGATGGGAGGGTCCCATGTCTAATCTTCTGATAGTAAGTAATTGCGACAATATTAGGAATAAATTAGCATGTTTTCATGTGTTAGAGGATCAGGATTGAGGTGAGGAGGAAGAAGGGGAAATAAGGGAGAAGAGACTGCACTGATGGCAGGGAAGGACATAATGAGAAAGATATGAAAAATCTACATGTGAAAGTGTTAAATGGCCACATATAATTTGAAACATCTATTTTTGATCTTTAAATTAAAAGTGTCTTATATGGTGTTTTCATTTTGGCCAGTCTTCTGCAACATACATAAAAAGCAATTAGGCAGAAGTACGATGTCCATCTCGGCCACTTTATTCAAGATGGCGGGGCAATGTGGGAACTTCCAAAAACCTAATTATTTTAGTTTATGAAAACACATCAATTTGTTGGAAGACACAGATAAACACTATTCAGTGTATATTTATAGTACTACATTGTCTTTTTTCTGTAACCTCAAAAAATTACTCACTGTACCTTTATTTTCTTTTATTCCAGACAATTTCTTGTGCATCTCTTGTACTTAAGAAGTGATGAGGGCTGAATAAACCAAATCAAAAAGCACCAAATTTTGACCTTCTGCTGCTTTCTTGCTCCTAGGACCTGTAAAATGTTCACAGTGGTGTAGTACTTCTAGCTGCTCGGTTATTCCCAGTAGGTACTACAGCAAATGGATCCACATATGGGATATGGCACAGAGTTTACAAAAACGGTCCTTTCTGACACAACCCTCCAATTTATCCTTATCTTATGACTGTCTGAGACTGGGTTGTGTTTTCCCATATGGAAAAGATATATATAGATCTTATAAAGTTTGTATCCGTCTTGTGTGAAACTTGTATGAAAAGCATACAAGAGTGAAAACAGATATAAGATCCCTTGAAGAATTATATAATGAAACTTGTATGTTTTGGATACTTACTAAAACAATATATGAAAGTAATGAGAAAGTGGCCACTTTCATGAGTAAATCATGTAAGTTTTTACTATTTCTTTTCCATATGGGTTTTCCCAGGATGTTAGGGGAATGTTGAAAACACTACACCACTGACCCACCGGACGTTTTCATAGTATGGAGGTAAAAGTTTTCATGGCTTTGTAAAATATTCTGAAGTTATTGTGGAGAAAAAAAAGCAAACAGCTATTTCAGATTTTTGACATCATTTCAAATCTTTAAAATCTGTACATGTGTGCATGAGTGGAAAACAAATGACTCAGGTGTGCAAAAGCTCCACTTCCATGAATTTGACGTCATTGTTTAGCAATGTGCAGCTGTTGGAAAAAAGAAAACATGCCAGGAATTGATAAGGTTGGATGCAGAAGTTTCCAGAGAATTAGACCGTTTGGAACCTCCTTTTAACTGGAACCCGTTCTTGATTCCCATCCCATTTTCAGAAAACATTTAATGTGACAGTTAAAGCAAATTAAAACCACAAATTATTTTATAAACCCCAAATAACTGTGCTAATGTCTGTCACATACAGTGGTTTTACATGTTGAAATTACACACATTTCCCAGGTTGCCAAGTCTGGACGAAGAGCTCGCCCTGCGGCACACCAGTCATCGTTTGAAGAGACTCGTCACATAAGGAAGTCCTCCACCTCTGCTTCAGCAGGAGAGGTATGCAATCATGTGATAATAAACCTCTGCGTGTTATAACATTCATTTACAAGGTCATAAATATGCATTTTGGTCTTGTCTCATACATGAATTACAGGATGATGATGAGGTAGGTAGCATAAATTAAGCGATGACTTTGCATGGCTTCTAGTCCTAATGCTCAGCTTATCAACTTTATACCATTTCCGGTTATCTTACATTTCTTTTATCATGAAGTGTTTTACTTCAGTTCATCTGATTAGATTTGATAGGACTCAAATTACAGCTCACCTCGAAGAGCCAGCTTGACACACATGGTATAAAGTTTGATTGGAGTGCATAATGCAGGTGATGAGATGTTTGAGTTGCTGTTTTTCTACTTTAGCAGGTTTTAAAGTGCTCCGAAACACTCAGAATAGCTGCTCTTTATTTGTTGGCCTGTATATGTTGGCTCTTATGTGTTGCATTAAGGGTTTGAAATGTTACTTCATATAAACTCTAAATCCTTTTAACCTTGTGAGTCACAAAACATTGTAGTTGTCTTCAGTTGGCTTATTTAGTATCACCAGCAACTGATAAATCCTCTCTTTCTACAAGTGCCTTTTTTACACAAATCACTTCAAGTCATGGCACAGTTTTCATTGTAAAGTTTGCTTCTTGTTGCCCTTGAATCATGTTGCATGTAATCATAAGAAATCAGATCATAAGTGACAGTTGAAATACAACAAATCACTTCACTGTCGTTGGCATTTATAGGATCAGTCACATCTCCTGGATTGGCAAACTGTAAACCAGCCAGCATTCCCAGAGCAAATATTCCAGCAATGCCCTTGCTTTAGGCTAATCTTCCCAAATTAGGCCAACTTTCCTAATGTATGAACCGGTATTCTCGCGCCCTCTCTGACCTGCTGTGCACATGCAGTACATTTTTCCAGAGTGTCGTGCGACTGGGTGGCGTTTTTGCAGTCTTCGTTTATCAAACCCGTTCTCTTCTGCCCGAAATACCCAACTGATTGGTCGCATTCCCGACATCCTTTTAAACAAAGACTCATTGCTTTTATGGGCTCATAGAGTTCGGTCACTACAAGTTCCTCGCCCTAGAGACCGTCATAGAATCCCAAATTAGAAACCTTAAGGCCTAAGCTAATTGGCGTAATAGCCATAACTATTTTACTACAGCTGTGAGCTTCATATTTGGTCATGAGGAATTGGACGCTCGCAGTTTTTGTTTTGTTTCTCAGGACTATTTTGGTCCTCCCCATTTTTGTTGAGTGAAATAACTGCCACCGGATACATTTATTGCACACAGGATGCACTTGACCTTATTATCTCATCCCTTATGAAAATTCTCCATTGTTGAAATGCCACATATGAAACATCAAAGAGATTTCACATCATGTGAAAAAAATGTTTAAATGCTGCTCTAAAAAAGCCTCCATAATTGTAATCCCTTTTTTGTTCCTATTAAAGAGACAGTTACTAATTGCACAAAGTTGAGGGAGCTCGTTCAGCCTCAGCTCTCTCGATTAATGGTAATATACAGTGGAGCAGAGTGGGCTCCCCCTCCCTCTGCCCTGCTTAATGGTGACATTCAGATTTATAAATGGCTTCAGTAAAGGAACCAGCCATGAAAGATTATTTCCTCTTTCATCATAAATGAAAGAAATTCTTCACGAACACTTTGTCCTCTGCAGACCCAATTTAGTAATGAGAAATGTTGTCCCTCTTTTTCCCTAATTCATTTGTCTAGTGCCCACCCTTGTGCGCGCTGAGGAATTTATTCATTCAAACGCTGGCCTCAGGGTCCCGGTCTCAGGATCAAGATTCTTACTCCGTTTACTATTTTCAGAATCAAAGAAGTAGACAGAGTGGGAGGTCATTTTTTTCCCCTCTGGCTCAGTTTTAGGGTCAGACTTAATTCCCACACTCTGCTCTATACGTTCTAATGCTTCAAATGGTTACTGCTGAAAACTATAATAAACTAAACTATTTAGCGCACATGCAGTAGACAAGCGGTCCCCAACCCTGGGCCATGAACCGGTATCAGTCCGTGAGTCGTTTGGTACCGGGCCTTGGGTGTGAAATTCATGGTTTCGCCTTTTAGCGTTTTTTTTTTTTTTTTTAAATTGTTTTTATTGTTAACTCAGTTTCCCTGGGTCTTTTTCCGTGTGTTATGTATAAATCTTCTTTTTTGGTACCGGTTCTGGATTTATTTTGTTGTATTTATCCGCGACACCTTAATGGCCGGTCCATGAAAATATTGTTGGACATAAACCGGTCCGTGGCGCAAAAAAGGTTGGGGACCGCTGCAGTAGACGATCCTTTGCTCAGCAGATCAGGAATGTTGTTTACTCCACAGGTGGTTCGATCAGCATACCTTAACAAGACAGTTTCTTTTTTCTTTTTTTTTCTTAACAATTTGTGGATGAATGCTTCAATTTTGGAATACCTATTTATGAAATGTGTGTTTAACATGAGGCCACTGATTCTGATCAAGTTTACCCCAACATCTAATGAAAACATGCCGCTTCTGTGCTATATTTTCCGAGACTAAAGCCTCATAGGAGTTTGAATGCTTTCATATGTATTTACTTATCGTGAGTGTGGGTGAGTAGATATTCAGTGAAGCTGTTATTGAAGTTCTTCCTCCTTCCAGGGCCCTCCTCCTAAACCAGCCCGGCGACAGGGCGGCTGGGCAGAGGACAGCTCTGGATCTGGTTCTGCCAAGTACGTATTTTCACGTTCGCCCCCTCCATCTCTTGCGACTATAATGAAACTAAGCTGGGACTCCAAGCCGTGGTCTTGTTTTATGTGTTATTAATGAACTCTCATGCTGTTGAATGAGCTTATTTATCAGTGCATATTTGGCACTCGGGCTGTGAATCAACAAGGTTAGAGGGAGCCTGTCTGAGCAGGCAACTCTCCATTCGTCTTCATCTGTGAGCAAGGCGGTAATTGACATGGTTAATGCATCAGCCACAGGAGGGCACTGTTAGTCAGCTAGCCACTTCATCATGGGGGTTCAAGCCACTTAATCACCCCTTACCACTGCAGTCTGCTCTTTACACAAGGATCACAACATGGAGAATTCATGAAATATGTTGAACAGATGGAAGGTGTTTGCCAAAAGGCTTCGTCTCAGACTAACACATCTAAATCGCAATATTCTCCTTCACTGACTCAATATGAGATGTTTTAATACACTGTAGAACAGTTTGTTCTTCCAACTGCCATTGTGCTTCTTTTGCTCGGTCAGTGGAAGTGGGAGCACAGGAGATGCATTGAAGTGAACAGGCTGAGTCAATTGTATTTATTTGCGTAGTTTGCTGCACCGTTAGTGCAAGCAGGGAGAACGGCAAACTCAATAGATCTTTCCTTTCTCGCAGAAGGTCAGCGTGTCGCTTCTCCGCTTTTGCGTAACCCCCGCTTGATTCCCGGTCTCAAAGTGATTGAAATACAGGAGGTGTAAAAGGGGTTTGCACGTGCATTGATCCTCTCTGAAACAAAGTAAGTAATGGTCCCCCCTGGAACCAGCAAGGACTTTTCCCTTCAATGTCACCCCTCATGCTCAATCACCACCGCCCTCCTCCCACTAATCCCAGCGCAGAAATCCCAGGATTTGTCGATCTATCACTTCTAATTGACACTAAATGATCTGTCAGTTTATTGATGAACCTTTGAAACCAGGTTGTCACAATATATTTTATCCCTAACAACTTTTTCCAGACAGTTTTACCATGTCTATCGCTTTGCCTTACATGAGTCTTAATCAAGGGGCCTGTAATGTGTCTTAAGTGTCGCCACCCCCGCCCCACAGACAGGACACCATCCAAGGGCAGGCAGGTAGGCTCCCTCAGCTCCTCTCTCGCTCTCCTGATTGGACTCTGCTGGCTTCAGATCGGCTGGTTTGGCCGCAGATAGTGTGCAAAAGATGGACAAAGCAGTAAATGAGCAGAGAACTGGCAAGATGAAGTGTTTAAGATAATTTTTCTTACTGGAAAAAAATATTATTAACGCTACTCATAACAATATAATATAAGATATAGGACTTGATATGGATTTATTTTCTTGTGCTTGAAAGTTTGACTGAACTACCTGAACTTATAGTCCAGTCAATTTCATTACGTTGTTAAAGCTTCACTTTGGATTCGCAGGTTTTGTGATCTGTGATTAAAAAAAATCATACCACATCATCCTATGAACTTAGACCCATAACTTCAACCAGGAAAAACATCCTTTAATACCAACACCCCCTCCTGCCAAAAAAATAAATTAACCTCAGGCAGATCAACAGGAAATGAAATCCTCATGGTGAAAAAAGATGATAAGATATCACCTTTGAAAAACAAGCTATGAATAAATGTTCTTATTTGTTGCCATTGTCGTTATTGTCCCAATGTTGGGACAGATTTATTTTTATAAGAACCTCTTAATACTTGTTCTTGATAAAAATACAAAAGGATTTATTTATGGATTTAAGTATGAGCTTTGTATCGATCTGCACATAATAGCTGCTTGTGCTCTTGAGTTTTGGACATGCTAAAGAATTAAAAGAAAAAAGAAGTAAAAGGCTGATTGAATCACCTTTAAAACCACTAGGGGTCACTACTCAACCAGGAGAACCAACAAATGTATTTAGCTCTATGAAGGAAGATTAAAAATGATATTGGAAAAAATTTTTTGGGTATGCTTTAAAAAATACACATAACTTACAATGTTTTGTTTTATTCCTGCATTTGTGTGATTATATGTTTTGCATATTAATAATGCTGCATTTTTGGTATGCCAGCGTGCATCTTTTCATACTGAGGGAAAATAAATGGAGAGAAGTCTGTAAATAGTTGCTGAGGCTGTTAAACTGGTATTATAGGCTGAGAAAACAGAAGACAACTACTGTCTACTCCACTAACACGGATGAAAAAGATATGCCTACTGTTAGTTTGAAAGAAATACAATTTAATATGTGTGTGTTATTAAATTTGTGTGAAAATTATTTTTCTCTGGTGACGTACAGATCTTCGAGAAGACCTGCAGCTGAGGACCTCGAAGAGTAAGTAGGAACAATATTTTATTCTTTCAGCTGTCAGATGACTTTCATAACTGTCAGCACTTTTTGTATAAAAATAGGCCAGTTTAAATTTTTGTTCTTTTCGCAGTAAAGTGGAAATGGCACTCTACTTCCCCAGTTGTCCTTGGTCGTAACTAATCCTCGCCTTTCCAAGAACAATCACTTAATATGATTAAAATCCAGCATGACTGAGTTGCCGTCACTTTTACTGCTGTTTCCCTGTTATTCTAGTCCCTTCCACCCACCCTCACACAATTGTGTGACCAGAATAGGCATCCACATGAGAAGAGGCAGGTAGAGGACATAGTCCTGTATGTTTGACTCATCATTGCAGCTGGAGCTTGGTGCCTGGATGGCTATAGTGAGACAGAGGCTTTGTGTGAAAGTGATGATGTTACTCTGCCGAAAAATCCCTTAGGTTCTGCTTCTGTCACAATTGTCTTGTCTTAACAATACTTATTCAGACTGTGCCTCCAGCTGGGGTTTTTTTTTTAAATTCTTAGAGGTGATCTTGTCTAGGACAGTCAGGCTGTGTTAACCCAGACAGCACAACTGTGTGTCTCATAGCAGCTTTGTCAGAGGCTGTTATTCTAAAGTCTGACTCAGACTGTAGGAAACTGAACAAGCACCCTACCTATCATAAGAAAGAACAAAAACAGGCCCATCATCAAAGAAAAGTCTAGGAGCCAACTCACTCACTCACTCCCTATGATGACTGTTAAGATAGGGTTTGAAAGCATTAAATAATTCATGCTCTCATACTTCCTGTTTCTACAGCCGCCGTCTGCGACCACAAACTCCCCAGGGATCAGATGATGAAGGAGGTAAGAGCACCCTTGCAATCCTCACTCTCTGTGCCTCCTTACGGGCAAAGTGGAGCCCTCCAGTGCCTCACCGGCACATTCATCCTCAGAAAGTAGAGCAGATAAGCAGGCGGTCAGATCATTGCTTTTCACTGGTGCTCAAACCATATTTCTCCCTGAATATAGCATGGATTTGTGTGTTAGAACGCTGACTTTGACCACTGAAAGTATGAGCGCGGTCCTTTTGATTAACGTGATGAGGGAATATGCTCATTTGATGGAGAGTTGAGGTTGTCCAGCCATCAGCCAGAACAACACAGTTAATCACAAAATGCACACACATGGACACAAAGTGTCAGACTGGTGCTGTTGAATACAGATCCAGTGGTAACACTGCTGCATTGACTAAGTGACCTGAGGGCTCGTGTGCACCACAAACAATGTTTGGACTGAGGGAGGAATTTTCAGCAAGGTGCTGCTGAAGATAAATGCAACATTTTGCAGTGCAAAGCAGTAATGGAACAGGGTTAAATAGGCTAAGTTAATATTAGTTGGCATGCATGCTGAGAGACGTGCACATGAACAAATTGAAAACCTTTTCTGTTAAAACAGCCATATTGTCATTTTATTAGGAAATAAAATAAGAATACTACTACGATTAATAAGAAGAAGATGAAAAAAATACCTAGTACGCTGTAGAGTGACTTTTGAGAAGATGACGAGAATTCATGTTTAATTCTTTGTTCATGAATCTGCTGAGTTTAAAGAGTACCAATGTTGTCACAATGACATGCAGAGATTTTAAACTGTATTATTTATTAATAACTCTTGGTAATTCCACTCAGTTGTATTTTTCTGATGTGTTTTATTTGCTTAATTTAAAAAGTAGAAATCTATTCCAAAATACAAATGATGTTACAGGGCAATAATAACTATTGAATTTCAATTTCAGAAACTGTTTTTTATATACATGTAATTAATGTACTTCTATATTGTTTGTACACACACGATTGTACTCGATATTGTCGGCACACTGGCTAAAATGGACAGTTGATTGAAGGGTCCAGAGGTTTGGTTCTCTTGCAGTTAATGCCGCTGGAAAGATTATTACTCTGTGAAGGGAGACCTCTTAATACAGAGCTGGAGGCAGGGGTATTGGAAATTACAGTGCTGAGGGTTAGTGAGATAGCCCCTCCGATCTTGATTATGTCCCCTACCCTTATCCCTTATGTCCACTGGCTACAAGCACAGAGAGAGACAGAGGAAGAGAAGGCCAGGCTAGCCCCAGTCCCCTGCTCCCTTCTCCCTATCAGCTGCCCCCACAGCCTCCTGCTGGTCACATAAAATAGCACCAGTGTCGCAAAGACACTCATCTATTTCATGTCTCACCGTCTCCCACTTAAACTGTGACGTGTTGACTGTTGCTGTCCCGTAAGCCTTTCAAATGGATTCTCTGGCTGGGTAATCATTCGACTGGACCCCTGCGTAGATTATAGGGGTCCGAAGTAAGGCGAGGACACGGCCCGTTTGCCAGAGTCGCTGACTGGCATGTGCTGCCGGGAGTATGTCTACATTCACAGCAAATTATCCCCTTTTGATATTTACATGCTTCAGCGAGGAAGCCGGACGTGGCCGTGTAATAAGAATACGCGTGGCCTCTCGCTGCCAGACAAAAGCCACCTTGATACATGTCCAGCTGAGTGAAGGAAGCCAGCATGGATAATGCGTGCCATGCTGAGGGAAATATGCTCGTCCTGATGGAGTTGCCCTTTGCGTTGGAAGAAAACATTGGCTTGTTTGCAGCTGCTTTTATGGGCCACTTGACCTCTAGTAATAGGTTGGATTTGAAGCTCGTTTTAAAAAATGTTGTTGCTTTTTTTTCTCTTAATAATAGAGTTTGCACATAGACAGCATATGCTTCCGTGCTTCACGTCGAACTCTCACGGAGTGTGTTATTAGTGCGTTACTCGCTGAAATGGAAAGAAAGAGAGTGTGTGTGTGGACAGATAGACAACACAGGAAGCTGTTTGCAGAGCTGGATGGCAAAGCTTTTTGATGTCATTGCACTAAGACCATTAAATTTGATTGGGGGTCCAGGGGGGACGGATTCTGCTGAACGCTGTGCTTTGTAAATGAGAGGACAAAGTGTCACCGGGGCCTCATGAATATGAAATACCTGCGCCCGCATTTATTTGGATATCAGAAACACAGATGAATCTTGTCAGCGGCTAAACGAGCATGGCATTTTTAATTTGGTTTAATTAAAAAAAGAGAAAGAAATAAGTTATCGGCAGAGTGTGAGGCTTTTGGGCTTCAGCAAAACTTGGGGGGTAAGGTTTTGACCGGTCTACTCTTTTTTTTTTTTTAGGATTTATCCATCTCAGAATGTTCAGAATCAAAATATTTTTCTCCTTCTTACATCTAAATTTATGTTTGCTTGAATTCTTTTTTTTTAGGGGCTATTTTGAAGGAATGGTGACATAGATGCCAAGATATTTCCTCACATCAGATGCAGACTTCCATCTCCTCACCTCTATTTAGCTCCTCTATTGACTTTCCCCTCAGGGTGCAGTACTGTGGTTAGAGATTACTGACAACCCTCTTCATGCAGTCCAGCTCTCTCTTTTTCTCTCGCTATCTGTCAGGTCTCTTTTCCCTCGCTTCCACTCCCCCACTTTCTTTCTCTGTCACTGTCCACACTCTGCTCTAGAGCTAATAAGGATGTGCACTTTGCTGCCACACCAGAAAAATACTTTTCAGGAAAGACACATCACACCCAAAGCTGGGACACCTGTAAAGCCTCTACTGTACTTTTTATTTTTTTTGAAATATATATTGTTTGTTATCTGTACAGGCACCTTTTCTGTCAACAAGCGGCAACTTACTCACTATAAAATCGTTGGAGAGACTTTTCTGTCTCTTTACTGCTTATGTCCAGCTATCCAGACTACTCTCCATCCCTCTCTTATTTCCCTGCCTTGATATGTCCATCTGAAAAATGCTGTGAAAGTTTGCCCTCTCCTTCTTGGGAGTGAAGCCATCCTCTGTCCTGTTGCGTTTTGCCAATTAAAGCGGGTTCCCACTGTTTGAGCAGCGGGCTGGCGGCTCCTGGCACCGCAGCCCCTGCCAGGCCGCACTGTGACTTCCGACCCCACACAGATGGGCCCGCAAGCAAATACTCGTGCACATGGCTGGATACCGCTCCAGTCGGAGTGGCAGAGTGGACATGGAGGTCGGCCTACCGGCCACCGCAGGTCCTGGGGGTGGGCGGCACTGACAGGGCCCAAATGCTAAGGTAGCAGGGGGTGCTTTCTGGGGAGCCCCTGACCAGCACCCCTCTCACAGCAGGATGAGCTGCTGCCTTGCCTTCTGAATATTCATGGCCGCATGGCTATTGTGACAGGGCAGCTCTTATGTGGATGTAGCACACAAGAGGGAGGGGAGGAAGTGCCGCTTACAGGCACGTAACCTTCTAGCAGCCGTCCACAGGGAATTTACAGTAATTTAAACAATGTGTTTGTATTGGTAAGAATACTAAATGGTCGTTTGATGATTATTTGATGTTCTTAAATGTGCCACTTCTACAAATGTATCAGATGGACTCTGCTTTTTTTATTGTGTGTATTTAGACATCCCAACGATTCCTGATCTGGATGAAGTGCAAGAAGAAGATCTCACCATGCAAATTGCAGCTCCACCATGGTAGTTAATTCCTTAAACTGTAAACACTTTCAAACCACTTAATCACTTTGGACACACACACACACACACACACACACACACACACACACACACACACACAGAGTGTGACTTACAGAGCCCCAACTCTATGATCTTAAACCTCTGTCCATGCACAGAGCAGTGGCTCAGTAGACTATTCTAGTGTCTTTCATGTTAACTGTCCTCCATTGATGCTGTTGCAGAGTGCCTTTGCTATATCAGGCTGAAATGGAGAAATAACAGTTGGGTGTGATTTATGCAACTCTCTTGCCAGGGTCCTTACTAACCGGGCCCTTTGATTTACAGGGCAGTGAGAGACACGTCGACATGTGTCGAATATGTTGCAAGGCTATGACAGCGGTGGAGGTTATTAGGCTGGGGCTTGCTCTCTGTGCGAGATAATATCCACATTGAACTCATTGCGAGGGCAATGTAGCGTGTAATGTGCAGTAAGTAGGACTGGCATGCACTGCTAGGCCCCGGCCACTTTGAGAGCCCCCCCACTTAATTCCAACCCACAGATAAGCAGCTGGGTTTCAATTTAAAGTGTTTAACACTTGGCAACCATCTCCTGCTCTCTCTGGCCTTTGCTTGAAATCTTAGAGCTTAAGTGTGTGAAAACTTCAAGCTCATCTAAGCCACTTTGCAGTCTTGCTTTGCGTGTATTCTGAAAGCAGGATTTTCTCTGTGACATGCTGCTTTCACCGAAATACAAGTTTGTTTACAGTATAAGTGCATCAGAAGCCTGACTTCCTGTCACTCTGTTAGTGTTCAGGTGAACCGAGTAATGACCTACAGAGATCTGGACAATGATCTGAAGAATTATTCTGCATTCCAAACCTTAGTGAGTCAAAGACACCTTATTTTTTTAAAAATACCTTCAATGTTCTCCTGCGCCTTCTCTTCAAGGTGGCAACTCTCATCACCTCTGTTTGTGCAAGCTAAGTGAATTTTACTGCACTATTTCCTCAGGATGGAGAGATCGACTTGAAGCTACTCACCAAGGTTTTAGCACCCGAGCAGGAGGTGAGGGAGGTGAGTGAATTTTTAGTAAATATAGCTTGTGAGCTCCCAACGAAAGGCCTGTCCAGCTGTTTCTTGAGCACCAGGGGAGGTTGCTGTCTGTCTCTCAGGTAATCAAGATTTATGATGTGTACATTAACACCCTCTGCTCCCCCCCACCACTCTCTATTCCCCGTACTCACTTTCTTGGTATGTCTCGCTCTGCCTCTCTAATTCTTCTTTTCTTCTGTCTCTCTTTTGCTCTGCAGGATGATGTGAGCTGGGAATGGGATCATCTGTTTACAGAGGTGTCCTCGGAGCTGCTGATGGAATGGGATCAAGGAGAGAGTGAGGAGCTGGCTGTGTAGCCTGCAACTCGAGGAGGACGCTTGAACTGAGACATGAAGTTGCTCTAGTAGGAGTGAACATCCCACTACAGAGAAGGGCTATCAACTTACAAACTTCAATTACTGTTATTTTGTATAAAGTGTGTGTACAGCATTTGGTAAATTTTATAAATAAATAAAGTTGTCTGTGCATGGAGCAGTACAGTGTTACCTTACCCTGTCTTTTGCTTTTTTAAGTTCACTCGCTCACTTTTTTAGTTTGTTAGTTTTAACTCAAACAGCCAAAAGGCAAAGTGAAAATAGCAGGTACAGATAAAAATTCCCCCACTCTACTAACAGCATTATCAACACCTTCATACAAATCCAAGGTTGATAATCAGCTAAGCTGAAATCCACTTGATTGTGTTCAAATTAACATTCCTCATTAAAGCCTACAACCTTATTGTTATTGACTGTGCCATTGACTTTATCTTCCAGCTCTTCGATAGGAGCAACCCCTTCTTCACTATTATCTCAAATGTATTGAACAGAGTTCCTATTGACACCTGGGGGATTAGCATACATTATACTTTTTTACTGGATAAAGAGGAATAGATGTGAGATAGGAACAAGGCAGCTGCTAGTGTGAGGTGTGTGTTCTTTAAAGCCAGAAGGCCAGGACAATGGAAAGGAGATGTCTCCATGTCTGAATTTAAAATGGCATTGTGTTCTAATGGGATCACAGTTGGCGTAACGTGTGGCTTCAACATGTGGCGATCATGTGTATCAGCATTCAGTTTTGCCTTTGGTTCATGTGTGCGAATATAAATGCAGACCTCCAAAGTCAGGCCGGGTCTATTAGGGAAACGGCTGTAACATTTACAGATTGTGATTAGGTTTATTTCTGAGGCAGAGAGCGGTCTCGTGACATTTGGAGATGCACAGAAAAGTCCTCAAGGGCACACAATCTACGCATCCAACAGCTCAATCACTGCCCATCACAAATAGATCCAGATTCTTTTTCGTTTGGTGGGCCTTGAATCAACTTCATCAGGAGTAATACCTCAGGACGAGGCTATCACGCGGGATATTTGTGCTCAGAATATTTGTGTGTGGCAGAATTTTTAAGTGGGGCCCTCAAATTCTGTGAGTGCTTTCTCTCTCTCTCTTTTTTGTCTATCAGATATACAAATGCACACTTTTTTACCGCCTCCACAATTGGCTTATTTAGCCAGACTTAATGAATTCTGCCCATATGCCCTGAGCAGCTGCTACGTTGCCCCTTCCTCCCGCCCCTGCCGAGCTGCGAAGTGCCCATCCATGTAGAGACAACCTCTAGCTGTCTCTCTGGAGAAGGCTAAGCCTGCCACTCCTCTGCTGGCAGCCAGCCGGTGCTGTCTGAGGTGGACCGCGGACGGGTTGAGGACTCAGATTAGGGCCCAGTGATCACGGGTTGCGGTCGTCCTCAAATGATTGGCCCAGGCGTCGGTGGATCAGAGAGGGGATTAGAGGGAGAGAGAGAGTTGCTGTTTGGCATGTGCTTGCATCCAGCTTCTCAAAGTGACCTCTCTCTACTGCCTCATCCTGCTGCTCTCTTACTTTATTCTCCCCATGTCTCTCTCTGTGTATACTGTATATATCCTGATGCTGCAGCGAGGCTAAGGATGACCTCTCACTGTCTGGGTGCAGTGGATTCAATCACATCAAAACAAGCGCAATGCACGCATCATTTCCAGCGAGGAAGACAATTGTGTTCTTTAAGAGCTTTGTGGTGGCTTTTGGATGAAAACGGTGTCGCCGGGAGGTGAGCCGAGTCTGAGGCCATGTTGATTATGTGTATATCAGATCAGATGATACAGGCCTCACATGGGTTTAGGGTGCAATTTATTTTTCCCTTGACATTTTTCTATTAAAATAATGGAGCCATTACCGCTGCAAAAAAACATCCACACTGCTCCGACGTGTGCTTCCGTAATCCGATATTTCACTGGAAATGCCTCAGTAATGATTTTTGATTTGATGGGAAACACTTTGGAGGAAAGGGTTTCCAGAATTTATGGGGTAAAAAAAGAAGTTTTCTCACTTTAAACTTTATTTATAAAGCAGCAATGTTTGTGAAACCTTAAGGCAAGCATGGCCCAGCTGAGCACAGTGAATTATTTTGGGTTTAAGTAGGCTATTTATCTTTGTCTTTATTGGGTCCCTCATTGGAACCGACTTTTCATTTTGTGGCAAAGAAAACACATGAGAGGAAGTAATAAAAGCTTAACAGTATTTTAAAAGAAGAAGAAAAAGTAGAAAGGTCCGTTTATGTAATGTTTTTTCCCTCCGCCCCTGTTGACTGGCTTGTCTTGATGTATTTTGATATTGGGCACTAATTGGAAGGATAGACTAGAGATAATATCCTTCCAGCTCTACCTAATATGCTAAGGTGCTGACAGGAGTTTATACATCTTATCTGTTCTCAATATCTCCCTTCCATATGGTTCAAATCCAATATGCTGAGGTGTAATTAAAGAAAATGGGGAGATGTAGAGATAGCTTCAGCCCGATGCCGGGGCCCCTCAGACACAGAGTGAGGGGTGAGGACAGACACGCTAAAGCTCAGAGCAATATTAGGTCCGGTTCATTCCACCAGGGGCCGCGTGCCTGTAACAGGTTCCCTATCAGTGACCTGCCCAGCTCTGCATCAGTCAGGTGCCGCGAACCAGCCACAAGAGGACGATTATCAGTTTAAAAGGGAAAAAAAGCAAGAACAGAAAGATATGCCCCGCTTTTAAGCCATGTTTTACTCATTAATTTATAACAAAGAAAAAAAAATATATGCAAGGTCAATTTGAATTCTGAAGCCAGAAATAATACATGCAAATGCAAGCATATTCAAATGGAGCTCGTGCCCTTTGAATCAAACCTCAAAAAGCAACCTCGGTATTGATTCGCAACAAAGACTCCATGATATTTCAAGTTTAAAGGAGAGATCCTCAACACACCACTAAGGCAGTCAGATCAATATCATTTTTTGATCAAAAGGGGGATTTGCCTTTGAAATGGCCAGATTAAACAGATGTTTTATTTTTCATTAGTTATACTGCACCTTTAAAAGCCCGCGGGGGGGGTTCGTGGGGGGAAAGGAGGGGAGGGGGAATTACTTCACAGAAGAGACAATGAGAGTGGTATTTTTTAAGACCTAAAGTTTGACGGCTGAACTTTTTTTTTTTTACTCTTTACTTAATGTTCTATCGTTCGAAGTACCAATTTCTTTTCTTTTCTTTTCTTTTGTTTACCCCAGGTGGGCTCGGACATGAAATGGCTGGGATGGTGGCAGCTTGGAATGCCCCTGGGTATCTTGCTGCCATGGTGTTGTCAAAAGACCTGGGAGGGGGAGTGAGAAGGCTAGGATGGTCTCTTTTCTTTTTTCTTTTTCTTTTTTTTTTTAAACCAAGAAAAAACAACGAAACTGAGCTTCTGTTCTCTTCGTTACAAAGAGATCGGCTGAATTCATTTATTATTATTATTATTATTATTATTTCCTTCTTATTACCCCTCATATGTTTTGGAACCGCTGCGGGTTGGAAAAGGCAGGACAGGACAAGGGTTTGAACATGAAATACAGTCAGGCTCCACATTTGTCATGTATTTTATTATTTCCCTTCCTCACCTCTCAGACCTGTAGGCAAGGTCCTTCATTTTTCACATGACTGGTTTTCTTATCATTGTGGGCCCTCTCTGCTGGCCTACGAGTGACTTAAAGGCAATAAAACACAAAACATTCTGTAAAACACAGATGCCTTACAGTGCCTTTCCGGGGAATTATGATAATAACTCAGGGATGGTTGGAGTGGCCAGGTCATTGTGGATGTGGGGGAAGGGGGGCTAGGGGCGATGGGAGTAAGTTCACCGAGGTTCTTTGAGCAGGGACAGGTCAAGGTGGGCTGTTGGGCCTCCCCATCCGCCCTCCCTTTCCCAGCCTCCCCAGTCATAAACTCTTCCTATCATGCAGGATGCCGGCTACAGAAGGTACAAAGCAGAACCTCTTTGTCTTGTAGCTGCTGGGGATAAAGCAGTGGCTGATGGGAAAGCGGTTGCGTTGGCCCCCTGGCAACGGCGAGGTCAGCTGAAGAGTTGATCATAGCCAGGAGAGGAAAAACTCCTGAGTCAACACGACTCTGCAGTCTGCCCCCTGAGGGTCAGCTATCCTGTGAACTTGGTACTTTGTAATTTAGTTCCTCTGAAAGAGAAGACAGAAGGTGACAAGATTTTAAGTCGTCTTATTGCTGAACTGTCTGGTTATGATTTTTTTTTTTTCGGTGTCTGGATTTGTTGCAGGGTGGAGGGAGGGGCTGGATGTAGTCCTACAACACCTTTCGAGTGTGTGAATGAGAAGGAGTGAGGACAGGAAACGAGTGTGGGCTCCACCACTGAGGTGCTGACAGAGGGGGGATAGAGGGGGCTGAGGCTGCACCTGTTCCGGCCCAGCACCCTCCCAGCAGGGCTTCGTCAGAGTCTCGGCCTTCTCCTGGCATCTGGGATGGGGGCCAGGCCCAGTCCCACCTCCAGCGTTTGCTCCACCTCTTCGCTGCTTGTGGATGAGAGACGAGAAACGCTGGAGGCTCCATCTGCCGAGGGCTCGCTGCGGTCTCCGCGGCCCGCCTGGGGAAGGGGGTTGCCGAGTCTCCACGACTCTGCCACGGGGGTCTCACAGTGGTAGACCACAATGCGGCACATCACGCGTCACATGCCAGCTGGCCAGGATTTCTCTCCTGTAAACAGAGACTAATGACCACTCAACACACACACACACATAGAATAAATATCCCTTGGTGGAATGGAGGCGGGTGAGACTATGTAGGTGAAAAGACTTGGTTTGATTTCGTTAAAGGAGAGCAGCAGAACAAGGGGGTTCGTGTCACAGTGGGACATTGCTAAAGCTTCTCTCAGATGCTGACTATAAGTCCACTACATCACAGTCATGCAGTTTCCTGCTTACACGCAGCATCACAGGCCTCCCAGTGCTCTGCAAGCCTCTGGGCTCCAACAGGTCCACCCGCTGAGTCTGTAAAGCTCCCCTGTTGAATTTCTATCGCGTGGAACTGCATGGAGCAAAGAATTCAGCCAAGGAATCCTGTGATGGTTGGTTCTCCAGGCTGAAGGACATTAGTATCTCTATACTTCCTATCCGGTCTCCCTAGAATCTCCTTGTCCATGTCTCCAAAGCTCCGTTTTCCCCACAT